CCTAAGAAGTGACGGCATCATTTTGGCATCACAACAGGATAGTTTAACTTAACCTAACTAACCATAACAATTTGCGATTTTTTTCACTCAATTGTTATACTTCGTTGTATTCACTTTACAATGCGTGCACAGCTCGGCGCATGCTGCCAGTGAAATCTGCAAACAGTCAATAATTAAACAGCTTTTATTATATTTCAACTTCTTCTTTTTGCGTTGTGTAGTTGGAGGCTTGTGCGCTCATTTGCCAAAGCTTCTTCGGTGAACTATTTTGTCACAATTAAATGCGGATACGCGCGTTCGAAACTTGGTTATGCCGGTTAGCATGTGATGTGGTGCAAGCGTCTGCTGGTTGTTGATCAAATTAAAAATGCAGAGTCTCGCTTTTTGCAATTTGCAATTCATTTAAGTTCATTCCGGATATTGAAAGAAATGCAATTTTTTTTTTGATTGATTTTTTTTTTTAATTTGAAGAACAAAAGTGAGAAATAAGTGATCTTCCAATGATTCGATAACCGTCTGGAAGAGCTTAGGGTATAGCCGCAATGCCGTAAATGCTCTAGAAGCCGCTGAGTTTTAAGCCGCGCACAGTGTTTTTGAATAGGTTCAGTTAGGTTATGGAGAAGTGATTACAGAAGGCATCCTAGCCTAACTGCACGCCGTTTTATCAGGTATCGACAGGTTTCCAATTATCTTTCACTAAGAGAATATGAGACTGTTGAAGACCGTATAACATGATCTTCTTCAGTCTCATATCAGGCTTTGTTTGAACGAGTTCTGCTTCCACTACAGGCTATTTGTAAATGAATGTCACAAGTAGCAGATTTGCATGCAGCCAGAGGTATACTAAGTCTCTGCTCTGCAGCTCCTCTATCGCTCTATGACTAGAACCTTAAGCAAGATATAGTCTTTAAGTCTCTGTAACCGTGAATTTGACCGGCGGACAGTATCTACAATATCTCGGCGGACAGAGGCTTGAACAAAGAACAGTTTCCATATCTTGCCTTTGTAAGCTCTTTATCCATTTTTTGCATAGCTCTGCAAGCTTGTTACGTTCGAACTTTTATGGCTGACTTAACCGCACTGAAGTTGAAGACCTTTCTTCCCGGTTCCAATACGTTTGATTTCACTACAGCCGAGACTTCGAACTGTAATATACTGCAATGGTAGGTTGGCTTGCAACTCTCTAAGATTTTCTAGTATTCTAACAGTAGACACTCCAACTATTTCTGTTCCCATATTTTCGAGCAAGTTCTAAGAAAATATTTAGGATTGGTAGTACAGAACTCGATTTAAATGCCTTTTTGTGTTCAACTCTGCTAGGCTTTCCTCCAAAGCTTTGGAATAAGCCAATGAAATATCTTAATAAAACCTCAATTGAAAGAATTTGGGTAATTTTTCACACTCTTGTGTAATGAATATTGTCTACCTTCACTTAATTGCTTTTGGTACGCTGCTTTCAGCCGCCCATTATTTTTTTTTTCAAACTCATTAGCCCACTTTAGCTAATAAAAAAAATCTTAGTTCAACTAACCGAAAGTGCGATTTACGAAGTCCGCGTGGCGACTGGCAAGTGGTTCGCCTTGAAACCAGTCATGCCAGCGAAGCTGAAGTAGAAACAAAACAAAGCGGTAACAGCAACAACAGTCATGTGATGAGATCTCAATCTACGTACAAGTGAATGCATGCATGCAGAGGTAGAGTTAGCGGTAATAAACGAAAACCTAGTCAAACAGCAAAATTGTATTGGGCAAAAATGCATTGCACAGCAAATGAGCAGTTAAAAAATATGTATGTATGTATATGTATGTATGTAAGTGATTTTGTGTGTATGAGCCTTAACAAAATTGGGTAATAAATAATTGAGGAAGGCGCAAGCTTAGCCGTACGTTTATATGTATGTGTATGTACATACCAATTTATGTAGTTTTCTATGTACTCGTATGTTATGCATGTACGTATATACATATATACGTGTATGTGTGTATTTGTGCACAGAAATGTTACGTATACGTGCATATGTACATGTATACTATATCACATCTATAATTCAGCACATTTGCAGCACTATTACCGTTAGTTGGCGATTCAGCAAGATTTTAAAAAAATTACTTTGGGTGCATGAATTTTGTTTTTTTTTCTAAAGCCGGATTCGCAAAGAAAATGAAAGGTATGAATTCCAAATTAATTTTCCCTTTCGAATTTTTCTGCTGTCTAAATGTTAGAGCGAAGGGCGTTTGGCGTTGTGTGAGCAAAAATGAATCTACATATATATATATATATTTATACATATGTTTGTATGTACTATATGCATTACAGGGCAATATATTTACTGTAACTGTTGCAACATTCGTGATTTGTGTGCCAAATGCCCAGCAACGTGACTTTGCTGCGCTTCAAGCGATCGCCTAACGGCTTAAAGGGCAAATTTTTCTTTTCAGCTCCATATCTTTTTAAAATTTCTCAGGTGTGTGGCCACATATGTACAAATGTATATATGTATGTATATGTAAATGCAAACGAAAAACAGCTGCGCGCATGGCCTATACGCAATTGCAAGCGTAAGTTTGCATTCTGCATATAATTGATAATATAAACAAATGTAATACAATTGGCTTTGCCGTCGCCGGCTATGAAATTTGATACTTTATAATTTTTACTTTTATTTTTTTTTTTCTTTTTATTTTTATTTTTTTTTTTCCTTTTATTTTTATTTTCCTTTTATTTTTATTTTCCTTTTATTTTTTATTTGGTATACAAATACGACAGTGTATTAATTGTAATTGAAGCTGCAGCTGCTTTTGTGGCTACATTTCATTATCTTTAATTTTATTTTGTTAATACGCAATACACATAATTATTGCGTTAACACCTCATTGCCGGCCTGCCATGCAATGCTGCAACTCGATACCGCCAACTGCCGGTAATCAAACACACATGTGTATGTATGTATGTATGTATATATAAAAAATTGATTTATTAATTAGCGAAAAACTGACTGATCGCTTTGCAATAGTAACGGTAATTAGCTACGCGTTCATTTGCTTATTAATTATGCGTCCATCAATGTCCGGCGCATCGTCTATGGCGACGCGTTGCAATTTGGCATTGACACTGGCGGTTGGTGGCAAGGCTTTTAATAAATTTGGTTTACACTCTATATGTATATGGAAATGCAGGAACAACGCACATACATACATACATATGTATACACATATGATTGCGATTGTGGTGTTTACAAGTGTATGTATGTTTCATTTAAAGACTATGGGCCGATTGCAACACATTGCTAATTATATGCATTTATCCTTGTATTTGTATGTCTGCAGAGAAACGCCGATAATTCAGCAATTCGCAATAAAACAGAGTTAAAAACCGATCACAAAATACATAAACTACGCCGGTACAAATTTAATGCACGGCGAATGAGCGCGTCAGCTTTTTGAAGAAAACAATAAATATCGACAATCGATAACTATCGAGTTTGCTACATTTAGTGCTTTGCAGGGAAATGTTAATTTACTGACCAAAAATGAAGAAAATATTTACATTTTTATTTCAGCATACTCGGTAAATTATGTATGTGTGCATTTCATGTGATTACTTAACTAACTACATTCTTATCATACATGGCATGGAATTCAATACGTCAATTCAATACAACAAATCAGGGAAGGCGCAACGAGTGGAATTAAAAATATTTTTTATCAAACACAAAAAATACATTTGTTTAACGATAAAAAAAATATTGAAAATAGAAACAGATATTATAAATCAAATCAGCTTTTTATTAAACCACCAATTATTTGTACTTTTTTCTTATAAAAAATAGTATAATAGGTCTCTACTGTTGTTTTAAAAGTGACCAAAGCAAACAAATTATGAAATTATGCAGACCACTTTTGATAAATTGTGCTTTCATCTGAAACAATAATATTATTATTAGGCTCGAACACGGTATCAAAACATGTGTACATACATGTGAAATAAACTTACATACAAACCAGTTTCTGGTTAAATGTAATTTTAGCGGTTTAAGCGATATAAAACAAATAAATAAACGTAACTGTATATTAGATTACACATATTTTAAGAACAATTATTTAAATACTGGTGGATTTTAACACACATACTATGACTTTTGAAAATTTAATATCAATTTTGTGTACGTATGGATTGCGTTGCGTCTGCCTGACACAACAACCTGTTGCGCCTATTATAAATTTATAAAAACAAACAAAGAACCAAACAAAACGATAATTTCTAGAAAATTAGTAAGTTCAAAAACAACACAATTAAGTTGATGAGCCGTTGGTAGGACGATATGTAGGTAAACACTAATTTCTAATAAAATTCTCTATATAAGCACACTTTTGGCGGTTCATATGTATTAATGTAAATTTATTCGTACATACAATCTCTACCATTGTAATTCCGGTTAACTAGTTATAAATTTGTTCCTCTCCCTCGACAAATTCGTGAAATAGTCAACGTTTCCAGTAACTGTATGTATGTAGGTATGCGATAATGTACTATTTGCAAAAGCCACACATAGCGAAAACTGGTTGTTGATGATTAGGCAATAATGGGATTTTTGTCTCAATTCATTGCTCCATGCCACGACTCAGCTCAGGTATGTAAGTATATAAATATGTGCTGGTAGCTGGTACTAGATAGTAAAAAAAAAAAAAATAAATACATTGCCATGCTCAACTGCTGCATGCACATGTGTTCATACACATATCAATGATTGCTGCGGTTCGCTGACGCGTTACATCACTCAAAAAACCAACCTATCCATTAGCGTGTACTAAATCTGCAGTGTGAAATAACCAAGTGGTAAAGTAAATAATGTAGGAATATGTACTCAATAACTATATTTATATTGATAGAAACCGATTAAATTTCATGAAATAAGCGTAGGCAGTAAAAGGCGTTTGGTGTAAAAGCCGATAAGCGCTGCTGATAAACATATTCTCCTCCATGCTTAGTTCCGTACTTACCACTTTAGCTGCGCTAAAAAAGCTGGAGCGATATCAGAAGATGGAGACAACTACAGTTGTTATGGTTTCACCAGATGATGTGTTTACTGTTGGTTCAACTAGGTCGCAGTTGGTTTCTGCGACAGTTGAATGCACTTTGTTGGAATGTATGTACTCATAACCAATTAAACTGTATCATTTGTATGAACGTTCAACGTTTTACTTAATATTTATTTCTTAAAGATTAAATTAACACTGCACAATTACGAAATTCGTTCCCGAATATACTTTTTTCCAAATACTTTCGCAGACGTGTATGTGAAAATACACTTGGCACTGACTGCTATTAGTTGCAACTTTGGCTTTTGCTTTATTTATTTCCAAGTAATTATGCTTACTTAATCTTTTCTCGCCAACAACAAAATACTATTTCAATTTTAGCTACAAGAACGTAAATCATATAACCTATCACTTGAATGCTCTTCGACCAATTGACAACTTTGTGGCGCTCTGCTCCAACTGCAGGCCAACGCGGGTGCACAGTTCACAAAGCGACCAGCTGGTGATCCAAGTGAATGCTTGCAGTTGTCTATTGAGAATGGTATGCCCAGGCAAATGTCCGTTTTTTTTAGTTTAAAGTTTTGTTAAACATTTGATTTATATTTACTTCATAGAATTAAAAAAAAAATGTACTTGAAAAATCATTTTTGTCCAAAATGTTAAATCAAACAATATTTGTAAGCAAATAATCTTATCACTAACTATGGTGAATGTGCTGCGAAGTATGTCATGTAATCGCAACTGTCAAAATCATATGCTAACGTGTATGAATACATATGTGTGCCTTATAAAAACAAAAACGCGTGTTCAATTCAAGTCGCAATTTACTTGGTGATTATAATTTATTTTTAATTTAAAAACATTAAATATATAAATATATTTCGTTTATTTTAGCATTTTATATTTATCAACACTCGAAAAAAGCACACACACTCCCCCGAACAATGGGTATGGTACAGAAGCGTAAGAAGATGCACTCCGGTGACACACATTTGCGTCGTCGCTGGCGTGTACGTAGCCGGAGACGTGATCTCGATCAAATTGACGAAGATTTGCGTACACAGTCGGCAGAACTTATCAATCAGAAAGTCGATCTTGATCAGCCGGGTTTTGCGCAATTCTATTGTGTACATTGCGCTAAATATTTCATCGATGATCATGCCATGCAAGCGCACTTCCGTACCAAAGTGCACAAACGTCGCTTAAAAGCCTTGGAAATGGAACCATATACAGTGGAGGAAGCCGAACGTGCTGCTGGCCAGGGTAGTTATAAGGCGCCGAAGAAACGTGTTATGGAAACTCAACCGTCGAAGGAGGAAGTAAAGAAGGGTAAACGTGTACTTGTACAAGAGAAATTGGAAGAAGATGAAGCGCCGAAGTCAAAGCGGAAAGCACAAAAAATGGAGACTTAAATAACATACACACAAAATGTTATGGAAGGGAACCAGTTTTTGTATTTGCGTCTACACAAAAAAAAAAAAGCATTGAATTTTGTAAAGGAAAAGGATTAACGCGCGGATTAGTGCGTTATTAATAAAAAAAAAAATAGTTTTAAGAAAAATTATGAGTGTATTTATATTTGTATATTGTATTATGAGTATTTATATTTGTATATTGTTTTTGCTGCAAAAACAATATTCTATGTATGGTTGCAGCTGGACCCCTAAAAGTATGTTACACATTGTCTGTGAAATTGCTTTTTAAGCGCAAATCGATTGAGTCTTCATTGTTTAAGATAATTTGGAACATTTTTTGGCTGATTTTAATTTTTTGGAAGCAAATTGAATTTGCAAAGTTTTTAATTTTGTGGTCCCATTTGTTGACTCAAGAGGAGAAATTCATTTTCCAACTTTGATTTTACAGTTTCATGCTTTGAGCGCCTAAAATTATACTTCGATTTTTTATTATTTTTTCTCGTGCTTAAAATTCGATGAATTAAGCGAGAATAACTTGAGAGTTCGCTAGCTTAAGAGATTTGGCGATAGTTTGAAGTTTTCTTGACATTGTTTTAACTAAAGGCTTAGAAGTTTTAGGTTGTTGTTTTAGAAAGTGATTTGAGAGTTTATGGCTGTAAGCTCTTAAAAGTATGCTTCAATATTTTATAGCTGTAAGCTCTTAAAAGTATGCTTCAATATTTTATAGCTGTAAGCTCTTAAAAGTATGCTTCAATATTTTTTAATTTACTTTTTGTGCGCAAATTGATTGTGTTTCGATGGATTAAGATAAAATTTGCCTTCGATTCTATTAATAAAGAGAGCTTGAGAAGTAACGATTCCTTTTTGTTAGATTATTTTTTAAAGGTTTTGGAAGTTTCTTTTAATGAAAAATGGGATTTTTTAGTATTCACATCGTCTAACGCCTAAAAGTGTGCTTCTTAATTTTTTATTCAGCGCCCCAAATAATTTTTCAGTTAAGCAAAATACTAGCCGAAAACCAAAATTTTCAAATTTTTAAAAATTTATTACAACTACATAGCAGCGATAAACAAAATATTCCATATAATAAATTACAAAAGCAACAAAACTATGAAACAAAAACTAGCGTATGTTTGGTAATACGAGAATATTTTTAATTAGTATATTTGCTATTAAGTATAATATATGTATGTATATACTAAATCACACAACAAACACAAATTTACATACATACAGTTACTAATATTATATATATATTTACTAAAACTATTGCACAGTTAGCTGTATTGAAAGCATAGATGAGAATTTAAAACTATGTAATGTTTACCGTTACAATTGTTTTCTAATTTTTTTTCTCTATAATAATACTCAATAAATTATAAATAATTTAAAATTTAATAAGCGCAAATATTAACTAAATACAACAAAAGTAAATATTAAACAAATAAAGGCATTTTTACAAAAAATGCTTAAAAAAAAAGGAATATAATTGCTTTTTTTCATAAATACAAAATATTTGTAACTGGGTACTTTACTAAGCGCCACCGACCGCTAAGCGAGCCGAAGAGGTAACTGGTTCACATGTTTTTTTTTTTGTTCATAAAAATCAACGCATTTTTTGCATGATTTTGAAAAATATATTTTTTTTTATACTACAAGTATTTTATATATATATATAAAACACTACTACACTATGATACACAATTTTTCAAAGATATTTGTAAAAATTTCTCCATACAGACATCGGCATTATTGAGTTTGAAAATTAGAGTTCGCCCAAAAAGTTTGTTGCTACTAAAATACTAATAATATTAAATACATATATAAATACGATTTAAATGTCGTATAAATTTCACAATGCGTTTTGGGTGCCGTTTGTTAGTAGCTGCATTTGAAGATGCCCATTGTACTTAGTTCGAAGCACAAGCTCGATAATTTATATGTGAATTTCGAATAAAACAATAAACACAAATTTTTACGTTTTCCCATCGACACACTAACTGCCAGTTTCTTTTGGTTTCTCTCTCCCTTTGGTTTTGCGTTTCTTTCTACGACGCTTAGGCAACTTTCAAGGCTCCACTTTGTCACGCGCACTCTTCTTCTGCGACGACTCGACGGCAATTGCAGCGCCTTGCACATTATTATTGCCTGCCACGGCAGTTACTTTGGTCTCGCTAAAGAATGGATGTCTGAGCGCCTCCTCGGCAGTGATGCGATGTAGTGGATTGACTTCGAGCAGTTTGTAGAGTAGATCGTAGGCGCTTGGCGGGAAGGGGTCATCTTCGTCTAGTGGTTCCGTGATGTAACTACTCTCCGAGCACAAACAGTTGAAGTGGAATTGATCACAGTTGCGACACACCTCACAGGTGCCATCCGTACGCTGGTATTTCTTTAGCAACTCCGGCGAGCTGAATTTGATGCGATTGCGAAAGCGTACACAGAGTTTACGCAGGTCGAGCGGTTTTGTCTTCTGGCTGAGCGTCACCAAACGGTCGAGTATGAAGGCAGTTTTGCGTATTGTCTTATCGCCGAATATCGTCACCATTTCAGCGAGTGCGACGAAATCGTTCGGCGCTTTAAAGAAGGGATACACCGATGAGAGTATGGAGAGAAATATGACGCCCGCTGCCCAAATGTCCACCGCCGTCGTCTGGTCCGCATACTTGAGCAACACTTCGGGTGGCCGATAGCCTGGCGTGCCGGCTCGCGAAGCGTGCATTTCCTTTTTCACCAGACACATATTGCACACCTGCGGATTGCCATAGCAAACACATTTTGGACCATTGGCGACGCTCAGATTACGATTGGTATTGTATCTGCTCGTCGCATTGTTGTTATCCGCGCACGGAGCACCACCAATGGCGGCGGCGGCGGCGGCCGTGTTCGAGCCGGTAGCAGATTCTGGCGTGTTGTTGTTGTTGTTATTGTTAGCATTTCGTGCACAACCAGCGCTCTGGCGTAACTTCTGGTGAAAGCGACTGCTTGCCGGACTGCCGCCGCCGCCACCACCCAATATGGCCGACTTCACTTGTCGACCCAGCGTTGGTTCACAAATGCCATTTCCGCCAGCTGCATTATTGTTCTGATGCGCATTATTGCTGGACGCCACACCCGCTAGCGCCGCGCCTGCTGAAGTACCGCTTTTATTGCACGCCGCGCCGGTAATCTCATTCAATTGTTTCAGTGGCATTTTGAATGGTGAACCGCCGACAATGCAACTATTAGCGCCACGCGCATGCGGTGTTGCACTGCCAACGAGCTCTTGCTCAGCCTGCGGCGCGGTACAACGCAGACGTTTGGTGCCACCATAGGCGTCGCACGACGCGACGCTGCCATTCGAGCCATCGACTGTCTTGCTAGACATCGTCTCATCACCATCGCGCGGACGCTTACCCTCCGCCGCCGATGTCAAGGCGGGCGGCGCATTCGACTGCTCACAGCCGGACTCCAGCGTACCCGTGGGTATGTGTGTCGTAAACACTTGTTGTGCCAAGCCAAAGTCCACGAGTAGAAATTGACGTTTGCGGCGATTATATAGAAAGTTGCTGGGCTTCACATCGCGATGTATGACATTGAATTTGTGCACGTGACGCAGCGCGATTAGCAGATTTCGCATGTAGTGTTGCAGCTCGGTCAGATCCATTTTGTTGAAGAAATCGTGAAAGCGATCGTGTTGCAGGTAGGGCATGATGAAAGCGACCGACTCGTTGTAGCGTATGCAACAGTTGATGCCGACGACGTTGTTCGTGCCGCTGTGAGGAGGAGAGGCAAGGAGAGAAAATGAGTAATGGTAAATATATATGTAAGCAAATACAAAGAATAAGGGAAGTAATTTTAATATCAGAGCAGAGGGGTTGCCTTACAAGTGTAACTTTGTGCAGACGAGGAGGGTTCTTCTCGCCTAGATGTATGGAAACATCGAGGCGGTTTGTCAATTAAGAAGTCGCCCGCCCAGTCTCTATGCGACCCCAAAAGAAATTTGGGTTAACTAAATAATTGACAGCTGCATGAAGAGCAATCCGTTTAGTGCGTCACGAAATGTGAAAAAAACATCATAAAATAAATATTAATAATTGAAATACACAACGAAAATTAGCAATTATCAGCGGAGTGAAGGCGAGCAGGCGAGAGGCGGGCGAAATGTACGCGTTTGTACGCGATCGCTGCCTGCCGTTATTTACGCAAATAAAAATTTTGGCGTGTAAAAATAAACCTAAGCCAACAATGAGATACAACAACAACAACAACAATAACACAAGCCAACGCCGAGTGTGAGTGTGTGATTGGCAGTTTCTCAGAGGAAGCGCGATTGCACGTCACGTCGCTACCGTCGCGCACAGCCACCACACGCCGCGCCACCACCACTCACCCCCAATGGCAAAACGCACATCGCACTGCCGATGAGGGTCCCAGACGGACACAGACAAACATACAGCGCAACTCATACACAATACAATTGTATAACAAAAGCAAATATTGAACTGCAGATATGCATGTAGGTAGCGAGTTCGGAACGGGCAGGCGCTGTTGTTAAGCACTTTGGGGTCGCCCCAGCACTTGAAAATGGGCTTTGATATGGTTTCGTTGACGTTTGAGACGCTACGTTTGTCGCAAGCACAGGTGGCTCACAACCGTTAAGTAGACAGACGGACGGACGAACGAACGAACGGGCAGGCAGAGTATCGGTTAGATGGGAAAGTCGACTCGTTAGGCGAAATAGTCATGCAATGAGTTGATGAATAGAAATAAATTAGCGAGTGACGTCCAACCTACAAAGCTGTGACGTACATTAAGCTATGTATGTACATATTTATTAGTGCGCTATCTATCAAAGATGTACATACATACACAAATATCTACAGACAAACAAATAAAGTAAATACCAAACAAAGTACTATTTAAATCAATTCAATGTCGAGCACTGAGCGAAGAAAGGCGTAGCAAACTTGTGCTAACAACCATACATACATACATACATACATACATATGTACATATATACGAACAAATATCTATTTGCGTGTGTCTGCTTGTGCATAGCGCTGGAATTCTACGAAACCAGCAATAATAACTGCAACCTTGCTGGAGCTCAGCGAAGGTGAAGGTTACATCGTCTCAGCTATAGAAACCGACTGACACACCCACACCCACGCAGCGGTAGACTAGTGCAAGCCACTACACGCAGACCAAGACGCTGCAAGAAGAGACGTCACGATACGAAACAGAGACCGAGATCGAGACCGAGACAAGTGGAGCGGAGGCGAGAATAACAGCAATACCAACAGCATAATGTTGTAGTACTCATTGGTTTATTTTATAATTTACGCAAAATGCTGAGGCGGCGACACATGCAGACACCGGTTACGTAGCACGGCGGAAGTGTAGCGCCGCATGCAAGCGAGCTGATTGTGCTTTTATATAAAAAAATATTACAGAAAAGAACACTACGTCAGCGGCAGCAGTGGTGGTGATGGATCGATTGCCCGCAGCGCGACATCAATAGTACAAGCGCACTAACAACACATATCGTCAACAACAACAACAACTGACTCCACTAGCACAATCTATCTTTCAGCAGTAGTCGGCGACTTTTGTCCACTTTACACGAAATTAAGAGCCTACTCGCTGCCGGTTTAATGCGTGGGTGGACCATGGGGGGCTTTAGGGTGGCATTGGTGTTGGTTTTGCGTTTTCGCTAAATAATTTTGTTTGGTTTTGATGATGGACTCGCATATAAAATGTGCGCCATGAGGCGATATTGGAAGAAAATATACAAACATAAAAAATATAGACAAATGTATGCGCATTTGTAAGCAGATGTCCAACGACAAAGCCACGTACATACATACATAGCATAATTTTGGGCCCACAAGTGTGAAAGTTTTATGAACTCAACGCCAAGCCGGCGTCCGTAGGAAGGAAATCGACTATAGCAAGGAATGTGTGGTACTCCTACTGTTTTGCATTTACATATGTACATGCATGTATGTGTGTATTTTTGTGTATGGATGTACATATATTTAAATAACGCAAAACTTTGTGTTGGTGCAAAAAAAAAAATAAAATTGCCAAAATACGTCATAAGGGCACAACATACAGACATGCAGAAATATATACATACATAAATATATAATTAAATTCGAATTGCATATTTGCTTGTTAAACGACGTCAACAATGGAGCACGTGAGTGGCAATACAGAAAAAAAGAATATAAAAAAATTAATAAACTTTTGATGATAAACAAATTATTATCTATTCAATCTAATATTAAAAAAAAAAATTAAATTAAATAAAAAATAAATTAAATAAAAAATAAATTAAAAAAATATATATAAAAATTAAGAAATACATAAAAAATATATATAAATATTGAATATATAAAAAAATATATAAAAAAAAGATAAATAATTAAAAAAAAAATAAATAGAAAATAAATAATTAAAAAAAAAAATTAAATTAAATAAAAAATAAATTAAAAAAATATATATAGAAATTAAAAAAAACATAAAAAATATATATAAATAAAGAATATAAAAAAAATATATAAATAAAAAATAAATAAAAAAAATATATAAATAAAAAATAAATAATTAAAAAAAAAATAAATAAATTGAAATTAAAAAAAAATAAATATAAATTTAAAAAATAATAAAAATGAAAAAATAAATAAAACTAAAAAAAAGATATATACATACATATATACATATATATAAAATTAAACGAAATATTAACTATCACAAAATTAAATAAAAAAACTAATATAAAAAATATACAATTCTAATTAATTTTAAAAAATAAAATGGTACAATATTAAAAATAAGTATGTAGATTAAATTAAAACATTACCAAAAATAATTTAAAATAAAAAAATTCAAAACAAAACTAATCAATAGAATTAAAAAAATTAAAATGGGACTAAAAATAAATGAAAAAAATTGAATATAATAAAAAGGAGTTTACAGATAAATTATTAAAAAATATCAATAAAAAAATGATTAACATTAAAAATTTGTTAAAAATATTTTAATATGAAAGCTAAATTTAAAAAGAAAAAAAAATTGGAAACATATTTACAAGTAAAACACGAAAACCACACATGTTTTCGTCTTTTATATTTGCTTTCCCCTCGAGCGGCCTTTTTTTGCTCCGAATTTCTAATAATAGCAATAGCATAGCAATTATGAAAAAAATCTGATGAAACACTTTCTTTCAAGCAGAATTTTTTCGAAATTAGCCTGAAAATCAAAATTCCATGAAAATAGACAACAAAGGGGTGTATTTATTTTTAGAAATTTTCTGAAAATTTCGGTTGACGACTTTCTATAGGTTTTTTTTTGTATAAATGAGTGGGGAAGATATTAGGGGAAATTTTTCATATGTTTTCAATTATTATAAATTTTTGTATAATTTTTTTTTATTTTTATCTTAATACACAATAATTTAACAATTTTTATATATTTTTAATTTAATTTTATTATTTTTTATATTTTTTCAATTTTTATATTTTTTATATTTTTTAATTTTTTATATTTTTTATTTTTTATATTCTTTATTTTTTATATTCTTTATTTTTTATATTTTTTATTTTTTATATTTTTTATATTTTTTTTATTTTTTATTTTTTATATTTTTTATTATTCTTATATTTTTTATTTTTTATATATTTTATTTTTTATATTTTTTATTTTTTATATTTTTTATTTTTTATTTTTTATATTTTTTATATTTTTTATTTCTTATATTTCTAATTTTTTATATTTCTTATTTTTTATATTTCTTATTTTTTATATTTTTTATTTTTTATTTTTTATATTTTTTATTTTTTATATTTTTTATTTTTTATATTTCTAATTTTTTATATTTCTTATTTTTTATATTTCTTATTTTTTATATTTCTTATTTTTTATATTTTATATTTTTTATATATTTTATTTTTTATATTTTTTATTTTTTAAACTTTTATATTTTTTATTTTTTATATTTTTTATTTTTAAAAGTCTTATATTTTTTATATTTCTTACCTTAATTCACATTTTATATTCATTTATTGTTATAAGTATTGTGTATTTTTTATTTATTCTACTGTTTTTTTTCTCTCTATATTTTTTAATTTTTAATTCTATTTATCGATTATACAATTTTTATTTATTTTTAAATATTTTTTAATTTTTATTTCCATTTTTTAATTTTTTATTTTTTTTAATATTTACATTTTTTAAACATATTTTTTATTTTTGGGAATTTTAAAAAGGTTTTTAACTTCTATATATGCACATATAATTTTTTATCGTTTTTTTTTATCTATATTTTTGATTTTTATAATTTTAGATTTTTATATCTTTATCATATTTTTTTTCTTATATTTTTTATTTTCTTATAATTTTTAAACTAAATTTTGATTTTTAGATATATTTTTGTTTCACGCACTGTTTTATATATTTATATATTTTACATATCATTTTTTTATTTTCAAATATTTTTATGTTTTTAATGTAATTTTATATGTATATTTTTGCATTACATTTTTTTAATATTTTTTTTTATTTTTTTTATTTTTTATATTTTTTATTTTTTTATATTTTTTATATTTTTTATATTTTTTTTATATTTTTTATATTTTTTTATAAGNGTTATTTTTTTTATTTTTTTTTCTTATTTTTTTTGTATTTTTTATTTTTTTTATATTTTTTTTCTATTATTTAATTAATATTTCTTAATTTTTTATAATTTAATTTGTTATTTATTTTTTTATTCATTTATTTATATATTTTTTTTTTAATTTTTATTTTTAATATTTTTTTAACCTTTATATATATATTTATTTTAATTTTTATTTACTTTCATTTAATTTTATTTTTTATATTTTTTTTATACATTTTTGTTTGCTTTAATTTCATTCCAAATTATTTCCTGTTTTATTTTTTTCTTATTAATTTTATTTGATATATTTTACTTTTAATTTTCCATTATAAAAAGTCGTATTTTGTTGTAAGGACCAGTTAGAAAAAATAAAGAAATGGAAAGAAACTCAATTCACTAGCTTTCTTCCAGAACATAAGAGTTACATTGCTGCATGGGTAAAGGAATCTTCCTCTGCGCTCTAAAGGTCTCATTTTACTTTAACTTTTACAATTTATTGCCTCCAAACTATTTATTCCCATTCTACATACCCAATTTTCGCCATACACTGCAACTCCTTCATTATCCTATCCGGATGACTGGTGGGTATGTGATGTTTAATGGCAAATTTCCGACGCAAATGTTCAGGTAATTCCCGTTCCTTCTTCAGTGTGCCCAAAAGTACCGTACTAAAGGTGCCATTACCAATACGACTGTGCACATCGAATATATTTTCGATTTCAGGAATGCGTTGACGTAAATCGTTGATAGCCTCTATAAACAGTTAGAAGAAAAGAGATGAAATACAAAAACAAAAAAATAATAATTTAGTACTTGATTAAATTATCTTTGTGACGTAGAAAATTATTAGGAGCGCATACACATACACACCTACATACGCACATACATACACATATGTGCAGACATTGAATAGAATATATATGTAAATGCATAAACAAATAACATTTAAATAAATGAAATAATCAATTTTAAAGGCACACACGTGTGTTAAAGAATATAATGCATGCAATGTATTCGATAATTGTGTGTGTGTGTGTGTGTGTAATAAATAATATTTTAATCAATTGTTTTGAAATATTAATACGCAGCTGAATAATTGATGTTATTATTGATTAAAGTCGCATGCGGCGGCAGCACATAGAAAGTACTATTTTTTTTATAGTTAATTATAGATTTTTTATAACTATAAAAGAGGGTAACCGAAGTATAACAAATCACATATGTTATGCTAAGTTTGTAATACTGCCATAAGAGCGCATGTTATATGTGATCGAAATATATTTCCAACACACATATAAAAATTTAAATGTATTACTTAAACATTTATAGGTACACGCTATTTATAGCATATTAACTAATTTTTCTATAAAAAAATTCACATAGCTACACACATATGTACATATGTATAAAGTTAAAAAACAATATCAAAAAAAAAAAAAGAAAAGAAAACCTACATCTCTAGCTTATCAACAAAAGTAGTTTTGCAAATAGTTTAAAAAATTAAAATTTATTTCTTTTCCTAAAAAAAATTCCACTTGTCTAGTAGTCGCGTACAACAACCTTAACAAAGGTCGATTTTTATCACATTTTTTACTTTTTTATTTTATTTTATTTTATTTTATTTTTTCAACACACACTCCAAACGATCGTGATAAGGAAATGTAAATCTCATATGCCATTACAAAAATCCATACATACAGAATAGGTACATATTTTATTTTTTTATCATAATTTTTTTTGGAAAGTGTTTACTATCTCGCTTACGATTAGTATTATGTCCAATTTATTTTATTTATTTCGTGTAATAATTTTTTTTTTCAGACTACAAATGTTATATTAAACGTTTACGTCTAACAAAACCGATTACACGTATTGCAATTACATAAATAATCTAATTTTTTTAGCACCTGTATTCAGAGGCATAATTGTTTTTAAATTTTATTATTTTCAACACATTTGCTAATAAACTTTTCACACTCGTCGTTTATTGACGGTCAAACAAGTTAATAATAATCACACTTAGCTAACGAGAATTAGGTATGTACATAGCATGTGCCTCCAGCGTAATTACCTTCATTTTTGTTGCGCATCGCTGTTGTGTTCGTCGTCGCCGTTGCGGCTGTGGTTGATGTCAACTTGGGACTGACGGTTGATAGTACTGTCGCTACGTGATCCAATGCGTTGGAGATATGTTCGCTTGTGACTTTCGTATTTTTGCTGGATTCGGTGGTCACCTTGCCGACAGCAAGCATCAGCGCTGGACTAGCCGCATGTAGCGCCGCGTGCTGCACTTGCGTTTGCTGTTGTTTCTGACTGTGTGTATTAAGCTGATGCTGATGACTAGCCGCAGTGTGATGTCCGTGATGCGTGTGATTGTGATGACTCGAATTGCTACTTCGCTGCTTGCTGCCGCTACTAAAACTATTGATAGTTGAGGCACTAATAACATGTGCACGCTCTTTTGTAGAGCCGCAGCCGGCGGTATTGGCAGTAGTACCGATACCACCGCCACTATGTGCTATTATGTTGCCATTTCGAGTGGATTTATGTGATTTCTTTTCCATTTTTTTCCTGACTTGCCTAAGTTCCGGCTTTCTGTCTCGCCGGATTTTTGATTTACTTTGACGAACTGGCGCAATTTTTGTTTTTTTTTGTATATTCCTAGCAGCTGCTGTATACGCTGCTATTTCGTTTGGTTGCGCTAATTGTCGCCCCTGACTTGTACGCTTTATGGTTATTCTAAAACGTTTATGAGGTATTATTTTCACAACACTTTTTGGGCACTTCTCTAGCTCCGAAGCCCCACTATTCCAAATGGATTTCTAGTAATCCACGGCAAAATTCACGATAAAAACTTTCTTATTAGAATTTCGAAAACAAAAAATCGTTGACCTCACTAAAACACGCCGTAAACGCGATCTGCCCTCGTTGTTCAGGAAAAGCAGGAAGCTGGCGTTTTTTTCCAAAACAGAATACGGAAAATTTTCAATTCACTTCAAACAGTACTCATCAAAGTTTTGCTCTCATTCGTCGACATACAAACAATTTTGCACAAGAAAATTTATTTATTTATTTCACTGCTTCCAATGTTGTCGATCGAAATATTATGGAATTTTTTAAATTGTATATCCCGTGTATTTGAAAAAAAAAATTGTATAAATAGAAATTTTTAACAATATGAATATATAAAAATTTATCAAAAAAACAATTCCGCCTTGTAGTTTTTCTGCCAAAATACAAAAATCGAGTTTGCTGCGAGAATGACAGCAAGACTGAAAGTGTATTATACCCGGTGTTGCATTTTCCGGGCAGGCAAAACCGTGGGGCGTTCCTGGCAGAGCTTTGTGAAATCGTTGGCGTTTCGTATATTTGACGTTTTCTATACGTAAAAAAGAGGAGCAGCTGACCAATTTATCGCTACAAAGCGAAAGTCAACAAAAGAAAATGGAATAAAAGAAGGTGTGAAAGCGCAGCAGAGATTATAGAGACATCGTAAATAACGGCGAAAATAGCAGCTGTTCGTCGAAGAATGCAAAGTCCGTGGTGTTGCCATAGAAATTTTCTTTTACACGGATGCAATTGAACTCTGGGTAAATCGCTCAAAGCGTTAGAGTGGGATAGCTATGGAGCGCTAAAGAGAGAAGCAAGACGAATTCGCTAACAGAAAAAATAGTCTGAAATGCGTGAGCGTGCGAAACATGAGAAGCCGGAAACAGGTGTTATGTTCAAAAATTCAAGACCGGAGCATACACATATAGAACCCAAAGAGCGAATGTGCAAAGCACGGATATGATAAAAACAGATCCATCTCCTTTCTTGCCCCCTAAAACCAAACCATTTAAGCTCCATTGAAACCACTCGTTTCCCGGACTTATCATTGGAGGACCAGCATGTCTTAGTCTGAACCAGTCTGTTTCTAAGTGGGGTTGGCGAGACGCTGCTACAACAATAACACTTAAAGAACATGGAAACGCCGGATGAACATAACCTGAGTTCAATCTACTCATGCAATAAAAAGTAGTACCCACAGTCTGCGCCATTTATCGTTCGACAATAAATTAAGCGTATGGCAACATCATGTCTATTTGTTCGGCCAATAGCTTCATTCATTCACAATAGATTTCTTATCAGGCGAAAGAAATTGAAATTGTAAACAAAAATTCCTTATCAACAATTAAATGGGCCATCGCTCCAAAATAAATAAGAACAGTAGTAGGCAAGTACAAAATAAGTGCATATACATTTATATATAATAATATGGCTGAGCTTTGATATGCAGCCCCACTTGATATTGTAAGCAAACAACCAGGAATTTCGACATGAAACTTCGTAGGAATGATGACAGAAATATATTTNATTTTTAAGTGAATAACATTTTATTTTTTAAACAATTTCTTTATTATATTTTCCTGCATATTTATCCTTAATTTATAAACCTTTTTACTGAGTGGCTACGCCTGCCTAGCCAAAATACAAACACACAAGCTCTGTACTTAAGTATTATTTTACTTAGTAGTCCGGCAACTCCAATGTAGACGTAATTTTGCATTTATTACTCGAAATTTAAAATAGAATTATTAAAAAACTATAAGTCAGCTAAATAAAAGAAAATTAGTTTTAGAATCTATGATTTTTCCTCTTTCCATCCATATAAAATTTATTTGCGAAAGCCTGTGGCTCTAAACAAAAATTTTACCAATAATATTGTTAATCTACTTTATTGCCTGACCGCTCTTCTCTTTAAAGCGCCCTTCTCTTTAAACCGCCGGAGTTCGTTCGGCACATTTAACCCCTCGACTCCAACGCAGCCCAATCAGCCTTTATGAAGTCTGCTGCACGTTCTGCAATCATAATTGTTGCTGCATTTGTATTAGCGCTGACCACATCGGGCATAATACTTGCATCTGCCACACGTACATTCCAAGTGCCATGCAAGCGCAAATGAGTATTCACACAGGTGGTGGCATCGGTGGGTGGACCCATTTTTACAGTGCCAGTTATATGGTAAACGGTTGTGGCGAAGTATTTGATGTAGCAACGCCAATAATCATCACTTCTAAATTTCAATTTATCACATTCTTCTATAGGTATATGCAAGAGGGTAGCATTAACAGCACGATATGCCTTAGTACGCTCCAAGCGTTCAAGGTAACGTATGCCATGCAACATGCTCTCCATGTCAGCTGGGTCAGCAAGATAATTGGGTATGATGCTTGGTGGATCTTTGTAATTGTTACTCTTCAAACGAATCTGCCCAGCCGATTTTGGATGGGTAAGTATATTGTATGTGTTCAGCACATCCGATTGATCTATAACACTGCGCAAGAACTCAGCATAGCGTGATTGCAATACAGCTAAATCTGTAATAATATTCATAGCGCCAATGTCGCCATGCTGATAGAAGAAGTTGTGATACTCCGTTGTTGGATAGGGCACATCACTTTTGGGGCGTGTATTGACGAAGCTCACCACCGCTGTAGTGGAATGACTGGAGAGTGGGCCCTTACTATGAAGCAAGTAATCAAATAAATTGTGTAATCTCTGCTCTGTGCTAATATGCAGCTTGGGTCGCGCGTGCAATGTGAAGAACATATTCGTCATTAGATGATCCTGCAGATTATTCCCAACAGGCAGATCGTGCACTAACGGTATCTTCATGCTATCCAGATGTGATTGTGGTCCCACACCCGAAAGTAGCAGCAATTTCGCCGAATCAATTGTGCCAGCGGATAGCACAAGCTCACGCTGTATGCTCGCTGTCATTTCATATCTTTCGCGCCACATAAATGTCACCGACAACGCGCGCTGTCCACTCTCATCGAAATTGATTTTTATAGCACGCGCTTGCTTGATTACATGCAGATTCGGGCGTTGTCGCACACGCCCCAAATACGTCTTGCCGGTGCTCATGCGTTTGCCGTGCTCCACAGTGCCCGGCGCGAGCGCACAACCAATGGCAGCACCATCGTCACCCAATTGCTGTACACGTGGCACGCCTAACTCTGCGGCGCCATTGCAGAGCAGTTGAAGTATGTCGTCGTAGAAGAAATTGAAGTCATTCAACGTCACATAACCCATAGGATGCGTCTTATTACCCACCGGTGTGACGGCTTTTTTGAAATAGGGCAGCACATCACGCCAACCCCAGCCCACATTGCCTTTAGCAAGCCAGTTGTCGTAGTCGCGCCGATTGCCACGCAGAAAAATCATGCCATTTATGCCGCCAGTGCCGCCGATCATTTTACCGCGCGGCCAATAGCACGTATGATTCCGCGCTGCTAAGCAGGTTTGTGTCTGCGGCTCAGTGTAATAGTTCCAGGTGTGATTTGTAAACAGCGTGTAGGGATAAAAACTGGGTACCTTAGAGAAGTGGAAAAAGCATGACGCATTGAATAAAAAAAATACTGTAACGGCAATCTAAGCACCTCAGATTCTTGCGGAGGATCACCACCTGCTTCCAAAACTAACACTTTCCACTTAGGATTCTCACTTAGGCGACTAGCGACTACCGAACCCGCCGTGCCAGCACCAACCACAAGAAAGTCATAGTCGTCTAAACCACTTTTTAGCGCCTCCTCACCATAGTCCGATGGCCAGTTCTCACTGGCAGACAATGCACATTGTGCCGTTATGATTGTTTGAATCAAGCTGCTGAGCAAACTGTTCGCTAGGCCCACATTAGGATTGGGACAGTGCGGTTGAAAGATAGTCGCAGTCATTTCAGGTATCTTTTGGTGCGTCCAATGTAGTTTGCGGTTAGTACGTTGCGAGTTACTAAAATAACTCCCAAAAGGCACAACTTTTGTTCACCTTTTAGAACAGCTGCGAGGTGAATGGCATTGACGATACGTAACAATAAAGACAGAGTTGAATTGAGCGCTTTATTTCTTTGTTGTAAAGAGAAAAGCGGCACCATACAAAGCGACAATATGGAGGATTACTATAATGGGCTCACAAGTCTCGTGGAGGAGGGTGGGAAAGAGGGAAACAAGAACCTCAGCTTCTATAGATAGTTTCTACTTTGGAAACTATTGGTTTCGGACTTCGAATATGTCTTTTATTTTGCATCTCTACTGAACTCTCTGGTTCACTTATGCCCATTACATCTTTCGTTCACCGGTGGGGACGGTGTGATGAGACTTTCTAATGGCGGGCCTGATATTTTCTGGTGCTCCCCTGTCGCTTTCCTATAACATTTTTCAGTCAGTTTTTAACTCATCCTTTTCTTCGTGTCTTAACTTTGAGCAGCTGCTCTGAGTGTCCTATCTGATCCCCCTTGCAATACCGAAAATCTACAACCCAGCTAAGCACGGAGTGTGCCAAAGACTGACATACGCATTTAAAGTAATTCCCATCATATTTGCTTTGTAACAATGCATATACAATGGCCGCGAACAACAATAGGTTGTAGGCTGCATGCGCTACACAAGTGGGCCAACAGCTTTGTACTAAAACTTTTCCCAACTTCATAAATATTTTTCAAGCGACACTCATGGCGAGTTCACCTATACAGCTGCCTTGCGCTGCACAAAGTGTCGGCACAGTCAATAGTCTAGTGTCCACATTGATCCAAACCATACTCACAGCACAATGCGCGCTTTCTGCGAAGGACGAGTGGCCTAAAGATTACGCGGATACGGCGTTGAGTGAGGCACTCGGCGTATATGATTTCATAGTGATAGGCGCCGGATCGGCGGGTTCGGTTGTTGCCAGTCGTTTGAGTGAGAACCCCGACTGGAAAGTGCTGGTTTTGGAAGCTGGCGATGATCCGCCGCAGGAGTCAGAGGTAAGCTCGCTTGCTTCATTGTGTTAAACTGGTGTGTTAAAGTCCGCTCGCTCAATTTACAGATACCCATCTTGGGTATTACAATACAGCAAACGCCACAAACTTTCAACTATTACTCGGAGCCAACGACGCGCATATGTCAAGGTTTGAAACACCGCTTGTGTTACAATCCACGTGGTAAGGTCATAGGTGGCTCCGGCGCCATCAATGGCATGGTCTATGTGCAAGGACATCAAAAGGACTTTGACGATTGGCTGGCGGCAGGCAACACGGCTTGGGGTTGGAAAGATGTAAAGCGGTACTATGAGAAGGCGGTGCGTCCTGTGGGCAATGACACACATCCTAAAGGCTATGTGGTGCTGAATGAGAGGTCTTTAGACGGGCAGGCATTGGTGGATAGCGCAATTTTTAATGCCACTGCAGAGTTGGGCGTGCCGTCGCTTACGAAATATAAACACGGCATAGAGATTGGCACTGTATATTTACCGGTAACAGCTCGCGCAGGCCGGCGCATGTCCACAGGTAAGGTGTATTTGGCCAAAGTGTCGAGGCGTCCTAATTTGCATGTCATTAAGAATGCGCATGTGCGTAAGATACACTTCGAACACAGCGGCAAGCGTGCAACTAAGGTCACATTTGTGCTGCGCGGCTTATATGAGCTGAGCGTGGAGGTGCGTAAGGAAGTGGTGCTTTCAGCCGGTGCAATTGACTCTGCGAAATTATTGCTTTTATCCGGCGTAGGACCGCGCAAGGAACTCGAGGCACTACATATACCCGTCGTACATGACTTGGCTGTGGGATCTACCCTTTGCGATCACGTGCACGCAATGTTCTTCTTCAAAGTGACAACCAAAGCGCTAGACACGCTAAGCTATACAAAAGAGACTGACGCTATCTACGATTCTTTAATACACAAAGGCGGTATCTTCACACAGGTACCCAGCGGTGTGACGTCGTTCATAGATACGAAAGGCAAGAGCGATTTGCCGGATATACAGATTCATTACACGTTTCACCGGCGCGGCAGCTCAAAAGCTTTCGAACGTGATTCTATCAGACGCAATGCTAAAATAACTGCGTTTTTGAGTGAGAATTTAAAAGACGCACATTTGCTCTCCTTCATGTTGATACTCGCCCAGCCAGGCTCCGTAGGTAAAATACGTCTAAGGAGCACAAAGTATCTTGATCCGCCACGCATACACTCCAATTTCTTAGACGACTCCGAAGATATAGCAACCTTTTTGCGTGGCATACGCTTCATCGAGCGTTTAGAGCGTTCAAAAGCTTTACGTGCGATAAATGCTACTCTGTTGCATATACCCCTCGCCGAGTGTGACGGTTATAAGTATCGCTCGGACTCATATTGGCGTTGCTACATTAAGTATCTCGGCGAGGGGGGCTATCATCATACATGCACAGTAAAGATGGGTCCTGCTAAGGATAGAGAGGCCTGCGTGAATCCCCGATTGCTGTTGCATGGTGTTGAGAACTTGCGTGTGGCGGATGCGAGCATAATGCCAAATGTGCCGCGCGGTAACACACAAGCTCCGGTGATTATGATTGGTGAAAGAGCGGCGGACTTTATAAAGGAGGACTGGCAGAAGTGTGACGGCGACGGTGATTGGGAGAAAATATGAGGGTAGTTGAAAGATTTATTGGTGGAAAAAACTGTAATGCTATTAATTGATTTAATAAAGACGATATGGAACTAAATTTGTATTTTTTTTTGTTAGGTTGTAAGTTGGGGTAAGGGACCGAATAACTGAAAAGTAAGACTTTGTCGCTGGATGCTCGATTTAATCAACTTAATTGACTGTTGAGGGGATACCTATAAATGCTTTTTGAATAACACTGGTCCCACCACGCGTATGTGTCCCAACTAACTCCAGTTAATTCCGTTTCCAAGAGCCAGTTTTAGCTCTGAGCGTAACTTTCTTAGTGTCACCAACCGCTAGTAACCCTTACCATTGTATATCGTGCATAGAAGTTCAATCTCTCAAATGAAAATCTCGAGCTTAGACGCGTTCTCGTACTAGCGCTTCGAAAGATTTCCCATCTATTTGTCAGTCTTTTTTAGTAAGTTTCGTCAAGTTCCCGGAATGGAAAGGCAATAACAAATGGAAACACTTGGAAGCATGCAGACGAAGTTGTTCCCAGATCTACCGTTAAGTGAAGATTTCATTTCGACTCTTGTAAATCTTACGTATACGGACATCACACTCGCACCTACAGGACCAACTCAGCGGAATTAAGTCTAAATTAAACTCAATATTAAAACACTACTTGTCCACAGGAGCCCTCGTTTTATTGTACTTTATTTGCCCTTCTTTCACAGTGGTTTCGTTGAACAAAATACAAATCTTAGCAATCGTACGACTCACAACATGCCGGATAGGGTTTCGAGTTGTCTTGTGGTATATGTTTACAGCTTGGTGGAGCAGCTACAGCAGCACAACTACAAATGTAAATAAAAGCGGAGGAAGATAAGGTGTCGGTGATGTCACTCAAAGCGTAAAGTTTATTTTAAATATGTCAACTTACGTTAAAGCTGTAATAGAGCCCGGACCGTGGCATGTGTACTCTTGGCAAGAGCCTTTTACTTGGAACTTCTCACCGGCGTTTGCTTTCGCACCGTTCAATTCACAATCAGCTATGAAGGGATTTAAAAAAAAAAACAAGAATTATTTTTTTTTTCCTCACCTCACTTCCGCTTCATCAATACACTCACCGGCGCTGGTGTTATCAAACAAGCCAACTAACATCAATACCAACAACAATGCCAAGAAATTTAGACTCTTCATATTGCTAATTTGTACGGCGGCTTTTTTAATGCTAAAGCTAACTTAACTCAACCAAATTTGAATAGCGACTGTGGCTTAGAAGCGCTCAGTCGGCGCTTATTAAATACAATTCCTGAAGTGTTAATATACATACATATTTTTTGTTTATTTGTGATTTTTTTATTCGTTCTTCCCCGACAACTACTCGTCACCGTGTTGATCTCATTTATTTCTATTTAAATACTGCGGTTGAGTTTGCTTTTGTTTTTTTTTTGAGATTTGACGGTGCTTGGCGCGGGTTGGTTTTGGGCGAACTGGTTTTAACAGTAATTTTTTTTTTTAACATTTACATACAAAACTGCGACGGCGCGCTGTCTTCCCCAAGGCACTTCCACCCAAAGCAAGTTTATTGATTTTTATGTCTAACTAATAATTGTTATTTGATTAAGCGATATTTATTTATGTATTTACATTAAATTTTCTGTCAATTTTTTGCTACTTACAAATCTTTTTTTTATTATTTTAAATAAAAATTATTATCCCACAAAACAAATTGCTTTATGAAATGTTTTTCCATTTTTATCATTGTGAATAGCACATGTTAGATGAAGCAAACGGCCGCCAAAATTGAATTGACACTTGTCGCCATTTTTTCTGTTGCATAAATTCAATTATGCCATTTTTCTTTAACATATTACATTTAAATTGGTTTTAAGGCCAATATGCCAAAAAATATATGTACATATAACAATAAATCTGATTACAATATCGAAAAAAAAGCAATTAAAACAATCTAGTCGAATTTTCTTTCTTCGGCTTGGTTGAATTTAAATCAACATTTTGTATGCGAGACGGATTGGATTAAAAAAGATCTTTCAAATGTGCATATGTACATACATACTATGTATATGCAAGTTTTAAATTAATAATAAAACATTGATTAAATGCAAAATATTATTAAAATTATTAAATAAAGTTTACGAACTTTTTCCTAGTGTTGTAAGTTTAGTTTTCCAAACCACAAATTATCATTTAATTTAATCGCTACATTTTATTTGTGTACAACAATCGGGATAAGGCTTGCTATAATCCGGCGGTTTCTCAATACAGCCAGGTCGTAGCAGATAACGGTCACAGCTGTAAGTGAAATAAATACAATAAATGAGTGATAAGCGAAAGTCTTAAGAATTGGTATGACACACATATGCATATTATTATATATACATATTGTATACATAAACTAAACGCAATTTTTTAACGTAAAAAATATTAAAATCTTTCTGATTAAATGATTAAACACACAAAAAAAAATAATAAAATAATAATATTATGAGAAACATGTTTAAAATAAAAAAGAAATAAAACTTAAGTTCCGCTAAAATAAATGTACATGTAATATATATATACCATATGAAAAAAGAAATTAATAAAAAATTTAATAAAAAATTGCTGAAATTTATTTCAGTTAAAATAAATTTAAATTAAAAAAAGGTATGATTTTAAATATATTTAAATTAAAAATAACGGAAAATATTTTTAATTAAAAACAAAAGATTTTCTAAATACATTAAAAAGTAATCATAGTTCAGGCATTTTGGGGTTTTTTCTTTCAAAATGTATTTAAAAAAATGAATAACTTACTGTTTTATCATCAGCACATAGTCATGGCGACACGTGACCGTTATACATTCAAATTCAATATCCGTAGGATACAATGTTTTATTGACGGGCACCGCCAAGTCTAATTCTTCATAATAACAGTGTTTTGGTTGAACTAAATTATATAATGCAAGAAAATAAAAAATAAATAAAATTTAATAAAAAGAAATACATTCAAATATAAAAATAAAACAACATAAAATAGGATTTGACAAAACAAAATAAAATGTAAGGAAATGAAATGAATTTTTAATAAAATAAATCAAAAATAAAAATACATCATATTAAAATAAATTAAAGTAAAATAAAATATAAAATAATATAAAATGTAAATTAAATGAAATAAATTACAATAAAATAAAATAAAATAAAATAAAATAAAATAAAATAAAATAAAATAAAATAAAATAAAATAAAATAAAATAAAATAAAATAAAATAAAATTAGATAAAGCAAAAAAAAAAAAATAAAAATAAAATATAGTAGCAAATAATAACAAAAATATAAAAATATCAAAAAATAGCACTTACTTGGGTGCTTCGTATTGCCGTAATATTGTGTCGAAAAGGCCCAAGAAAACGGTAAGCAAGTCATGGTAACCAAAATCAGTAGTGGTGACATTTTATTTTTTAATATACACTTGAAATTAAGAAGAAAAAGTTTTTTTTTCACTGAAATGCTGTGTTAGACGTCAGCGGCATATAATGTTGAGAATTTATAGTTTTTAATAAAAATGTATTTAATACTTTTTATTGCTTGTAGTCTTTACACATTCATACTATTAGCATTTATCACTGCAGTAAACATTAATTATATATATTACGCCCCCTTTTGGGCGCTATAACACAATCGTCTAATGCGTCGCCGTGTCTGCGTAGAAGCTCGGAGAGAAACTAAATTTCGTTGCGCAAATATTGGTCACCGAAAGTGTGTAAATATCGTATTTAAATTAAGAAATTTTTACAAAGCTTCTCAATAGAAAATATATATTTTCGATTTATGACTAATAAGCCGAGATTAACATAACAATGTATTGTGTGGTGGCGCTGGCGAGGTGGCGGTGGAAGGGAGATGCTCCAGTGGTGATTACTGAGACTTTGCTTACGTTCAAGTTCAAGTTATGTGAGATTAGTTCTTAATATATACTGTTTGAATAGAAATTTACTGTTACTTCGTATTGAATAGTTTGCAATAGTAAAACGGAATTAATAAAGAATTCATAAATATTACATTACACATTAGAAAATAATTTTATTAGAAGACGTAGAAGTAATAAAGCCAAAAAGAAAAAAATATAAAAATACAAAGTTTCAAAAAATATGGTATGACAAAAAAAATTAAATTAAATAAGACAATAAATAAATTAAAATTGAATTTAGTTGAGTCAAGTATTTGAGCTTATCACTGAAAACCTCATAAGCAAAAGTGCTGGAAACATGCATAATCTTAAGTTGAAAGGCTATCAGGTACCCCAATATATGTATATGTAGGTCAATAAACTAACAGATGTGAATTCGAAATAGAATTTTTCGGTGAAAAAATAAATATTTTTCAATTAAAAATATATAAAGATTTAATAGGGACAATGCTAATCTAATATATACTTAAGAATAGTATCAAAATAATTAATTCGTCACTTTTATGACACTTTGAGAAGTCATGTGATATCACATCAACTCAATGATATCTTATCGGACTGATCACATCATATGTATCACAACACTTTTGCATATGTAGTATATTTTTGTGCTGAAAAATATAAATTCAAATGTAATTTAACTTGTGGGTTATTCATATCCCATGTGAGTGTTCTGTTTTACATGACTTGATATCGCATCAGCGTTGTGACATCACATTATTAAAATTAAACAAGTAACTTGCCAATAAACTATTTGGTTATAAAAAGTGTTGTTAAATGTAGATATAATACTTGATACAAGTTTATACAAAACCATATGATTTGATAATCTCAGATCACATCATCATACTGAACGACATCACATCGTTATAAGAAATTACAACGTTTAATAAATAAATATATATAATATTTATTAAGCATTAGTAGGCATTGCGTAACAGTAAGTTTTCCAGAAAAGTCACATCATGCCATTATATCACATCACGTCACTATATCACATCATGTCATTATAGCACTGTTTATTTTATGATATGATTTTTACCTAGTAAATTTGTATATGTAATGCAATACATCAAACAATACTTTTCAAATTTACAAAAAAAAAAAAATTAAATTAATAAGTTTGCTTAAAAATTCACATTATCTGAATTGGTTACATCACAGCATCATACTGAATGACATCACATGTTCTTCCCACTTATATAAAGTATATAACGTATCATTGATTTTAAAATAACTAAAACATCAGTAATCAATACTAAACAGTAAGATATTGTGGAAAGTTTCAACACCTTTTGAATTCATATCAACACATCACATGACTAGTATATGATATCACATCAGCATACTCAATTTAATCACAAGACTTTTGCTAATGAAATTTAGTGCGCGTAGCACATCAGCAAACGATTTAGAAACTCAAATAGTATAAATTGTTTTTATTATTAATTTCCTTAAGAAAATTACAACATTTGAAGTAATGACATCACATCATCATATTGAATAACATTTGTGGTTTTTTTTGACAGAAGTAAGTAAAGCAACCACTTTTACTTAAGAATATAACGTCAAATTAAACATCACAATCTCTATCCTATCGCATCATATGCTATCAGATCACATCATATGACATCAAGTCACATCACATCATACCAAGCTGATAGATCAGGTTATTATCAACAAAAATTACAAAACTATTAAATATTTTTCTTTATGTACTTGACACTCTACTCAACTACTTCACTGTCGTCATCTACTGTTGTAGGCGTACTTGAATTGAAACCGCAATGAACCGTTAAGCGTAAATTTACACTAATTGTTATCTTTAATTTTGTTTTAAAGTAATAATAAATGAAATGTTTATGGTATATTGACCTAGGCTTAAGTAAACTGGAAAAAAAAATAATAATAAATAAAAATTATTTAATCTCAACTGCAAAAAAAAAAAAATTAAAATTACTTAAAACACTAACACGCATACAAAACAGGTGTCGCTGAGGTGCGGAATTTATGCAGATAATTTATTATTTTTACACATTGCTTAATACCATAACATCATATGTCTGTTCGTTTGTATGCTTGTATATACACAAATATTTGTATGAACATACATATGACTGAGCCAGTTGTATGTTGCTGTCTGCGTTTAATTAATTCAAAACTGTCGTCAGCTTGCCATTGTTAATCCGTTTAATTAGCATTGAAGTCGTGAGCGTCAAAGCGTACAAAAGCGGCGACTATTGTCGAGTTTTTTTTGTTAGTTTTATTCTTCGTTTACTTTATTTCAATTAATTTGATTTTATTTTTTATTGAATTTAATTTTGTTTTATTTTATTTTGTTTTATTTTTATATTATATTTTACTTTATTTTAATTTGTTTTATTTTGCTTTAATTAATTTAATTTATTTTTTTGTTCTGTTTTGCTTTATTTCATTTTGTTTTATTTATTTTTTTATTCAATTTAATTTTATCAAGTTTAATTTAATTTAATTTTTAAAATTAATTTTATTTGATTTTATTTTTTTCGCTTTTTTATTTTTTACTTTCTTATATTTTACTTAATTTTATTTTATTTTATTATGTTTTATTTTATTTCATTTTATTTTATTTAATTTCATTTCATTTTATTTCATTTCATTTCATTTTATTTTATTTTATTTTATTTTATTTTATTTTATTTTATTTTATTTTATTTTCTTATTTTTAATCTTTTTATTCAATTAAATTTAATTCTATTTTATTTTTCTCTTTATTAGAGTTTACTTTCTGATATTTTACTTTACTTTATTTTGCTTAAATTATTTCTTTTTATTATTTTTTAAATTTTATTTGTTTTTATTTTGCTTTATTTTATTTTGTTTGTTTTATTTAATTTAATTTTAATTTTTTGTATTATTTTGCTTTATTTAATTTTTTTTATTTTATTTCATTTTATTTTATTCAATTTAATTTTATCAAGTTTAATTTAATATAATTTAATTTCATAAATTCTATTTTAGTTTGTCTGAATTAAACAGCAAGAAGAGTCACTTTAAAGACTCTCTTAGGCTACCGCTGAAACATAATTTTACAAAAGAAAATAGATTTAGAGATAGTTTTTTAAGATTAGAGAACCGTTAGAAAGAGACTTAGAATTTAGAAAGTAGTTATTCGGAAAATGTGTTCAAGGAATCTATTTTTTGGCTTTCCCCTTACCACCCGCCGGCTTCTCCATTTATTTAGCTCATCTCCAACCACAGTCTCATATCGCCTTTACTTTCAGCATCTTCACCGAAGATTCACTAGCTTTTCACCTGAAAATATTACGAGCTCTGTGTCAGATGACATAGCTCATAGCTCTTGTTTTCCACGCTTCATTTCTGGGCTCAATTTGTTTGATGTTGTCGCTTTTGATTTTCTTTTGTTTTTGAATTTTTGTCCTCTTTACAATGACGGTTTCTGCTGCTCGCTTGAACTTAATTAATTAAACAATGTAAATGTGTAAAGACAACAAACAAAGCCAAGCGAAGGCGACATAACCTGGATAAAAAAAAAAAAAAGAAATAAAATTATATAATAAAAACAACAATAGCTATATAGAAATCAGAAACTAGAGCAAGAAGAAGCAGAGGAAAGCAAAAACAAAAAAAAAGAGAGAAGAACGTGTGAAGTAGTGTGCTGGAGTAATGTGAAGGTAAGTGGTATGTGTGTGTATGTATGTTTATGTTTAAATGCAATTATATATATTGTAGTATATGTGCATATATATATTTGCTTTGAGATTTCGTTTGCTTATGTATGTGTGTCTGCGTCTGTCTGCCTTATTGTCTTCCACTCGGCGAACTACTCACTTGTTCCGCCTACAAGTGGTCCATAATTAATTTTATATAAAAGCAACAACAATAATTTTTATATCCACCAGTCGGTAAAATAACGTCGCAGCGCCAAGTAGAAATACAAAAGATTTTCAAGTGTCTTTTCTTTCTAAAAAGAGATCGCTTTTTTATTTTAGTTTGTTACTGCGCTATAATAAAATAAAAATTGAAAATAAAAAAATAAAAGAAGGAAAAAAGTTTAATAAGCACGAAAATAATTAAAAAGCGTGTAAAAAAACTAAATATATTTTTATCTGCTTATAATAATTTATTCACGGCAAATCGTTAAGTGATAAATATTTAATTTGCTTGTCATTAAGAAACATGCAAACCACTTTGCTCTGCGCTTTGTTGTTGGGAATTTTGGCATGTCATAGCGCCCAGGGGGATTTACGCTATCGCGGCAATGCCGTACATCCAGGTGGGTGTGGGAAAGAAGAAAACATAAATAAAATATAATTACAAAAAAAAAAATAAAAATAAAAAATTAAATAAAATAAAAAATAAGACAATAAAATAAAATAAAATAAATAAAATAAAATAAAATAAAATAAAANAAATAAATAAATAAATAAATAAATAAATAAATAAATAAATAAATAAATAAATAAATAAATAAATAAATAAATAAATAAATAAATAAATAAATAAATAAATAAATAAATAAATAAATAAATAAATAAATAAATAAATAAATAAATAAATAAATAAATAAATAAATAAATAAATAAATAAATAAATAAATAAATAAATAAATAAATAAATAAATAAATAAATAAATAAATAAATAAATAAATAAATAAATAAATAAATAAATAAATAAATAAATAAATAAATAAATAAATAAATAAATAAATAAATAAATAAATAAATAAATAAATAAATAAATAAATAAATAAATAAATAAATAAATAAATAAATAAATAAATAAATAAATAAATAAATAAATAAATAAATAAATAAATAAATAAATAAATAAATAAATAAATAAATAAATAAATAAATAAATAAATAAATAAATAAATAAATAAATAAATAAATAAATAAATAAATAAATAAATAAATAAATAAATAAATAAATAAATAAATAAATAAATAAATAAATAAATAAATAAATAAATAAATAAATAAATAAATAAATAAATAAATAAATAAATAAATAAATAAATAAATAAATAAATAAATAAATAAATAAATAAATAAATAAATAAATAAATAAATAAATAAATAAATAAATAAATAAATAAATAAATAAATAAATAAATAAATAAATAAATAAATAAATAAATAAATAAATAAATAAATAAATAAATAAATAAATAAATAAATAAATAAATAAATAAATAAATAAATAAATAAATAAATAAATAAATAAATAAATAAATAAATAAATAAATAAATAAATAAATACATAAACAAATATCCTGATTTATGTATGAATTTTTTTTAAATACTTTAAAAAGAAAAATAGTACAAAAGAAGATAGTAAAAATAAATAAATTATTAAATATAGTAATAAAATGAAAGAGTTTAAATTTAAAATATTAAATTATTATATTTTTTAAAAGTAATGAGAATAAAAAAATTAAAAATTAATATTTAATTAAAAATTAATAATTAATAATTTAAAAATTAATGCCTATAACAAGTTTCGTTCCAATATTTTCATATATTTACAGATTATCCAGGTCAGTGCTATTACGAAGAGCTGAGACAACCGATACCAACGAATCAGTCGTATAAACCGATTAATAGAGATGGGCGCTGCGAATCAATATTTTGTCGTAAAGATTTTGTACTGGAAATTCGATAGTGAGTATGGCATATATTATATTAACATTGATTGAATATAATTTTAATTTTCATTTTGATGATTTAAGTTTAATTTTAGTTTGTTTTAGATCAATTCAACTTCAGTTATTTCATTATTATAATTTTTAATTTTATTTTATTACTCTATTTCATTTATCTATTTTATGCAATTAATTTCAGTTTGTTTTATTTCGTTTTATTCTATTTAATTTATTTTATTTTATTTTATATATTATAATTATTTAACTTTATTTTATTTTAAGCCCTGTTTTTTATATAATTTTATTTTATTTTAATTTATTTTCTTAAAGTTAATTATTTTTTTTTTTTATTTTTTCACATTTTATTTTACTTTATTTTATTCTATTTTATTTATATTTATTTAATTCAGTTTCATTCTATTTAATTTATTTTTTTTTATTTTAATTTATTTAATTTAATTGTATTTAAATTTATTTTATTAAATAAACTTAAATATTAATTTTTAAATTCATCTTCTTTTCTCTCTCTATTTCTCTCTCTTTCTGCCCCACATTAGCTGCGGCCGCCACAATTTGCAACCGAACGCCACTTGTCGCATCGAGTCGGATATGCGACGCGCATATCCCGCCTGTTGTCCGGGCTTAGTGTGTCAAACAGACAGCAATTTCATTTAATTTCTTGTATAATTTGCGACTTAATTGTTGAAACTTAATTCTTTTCAATTATCCAATCGTTAAACACATTGTTGTTGTTGTTGTCGTTATTGTTTGTAGTACACACATACTTACATATGCATATAAAAATTATTACACTCACAGAGCTGTAAACTTTATTTATGGCTTTGAAGTGTCAAGTATATGTGTGTATGCATGTGTGTGTAGAGTAAAAAAAAAAACAAAAAAAATTAAAAAAAAAAAAAAATTAAAAAATAGGAAAAAGATAAGAAGAGAGTGAAAGAAATTTAAAATAAAATGAAAAAATCTATAATTTATGGCAATTTCAATTTTCAGCACCAGTCAGGGCTTCGAAATAAATCGACTATTAGACAAATCTCTTTAGCAAACGCTGTGATAAGCTCAAATTAAGTCCAAATAAATCGTCAGAAACTCTCTGACGTAGAGTTGGAACACCTTTCGCCAAGTCTAATCGTAAAAAAATCACGTAGGGCAGGTAGAGGGACTAATTACAACAAATACCAGTTTACACGGAATGTCTAGCCTGCTCTGGATTATTAGGCAGTAGAATTTTGAGCTGTCTGTATACACTCCGCCTCAAAGAAAAAGCTCTCGTCAGCCTTTTTATTGGCTTTCATTGTAGGGGAACATTTGCTGGAATTTTAGTTCATTGATTGAGTGAGGGAGCTATGACCATCAAGCTCCAGCTATTCGTTAGCAAACAGAATTAACCTTCTAAATCCACGAGTTGCAGTTCAAATAAAAAAGCCTTCGAGTCTCAGCGGACAATGATTGTGTTCCCTTCTGGTTTTCCATAAGAAGAGTTTTCAGTGGTCCGATTGTCCTCTTAGGAAAAATAAGTTCTACTGGAAAAATCCTTTTCTAAAATCTTCATTTATCGATTACGTCAAGAAGCTTTAGTAATCAAATTCTAGCTGCTCGTTAGTAAATTCGTTTAATTTTCTAAAGCCACGGATTTCGGCGCAACAAGGATTCCGTACAAAGACTCGAGGATCCACGCTGGTTCAAAAATCATTTTTTCTTGCTAGAGAATCGAATTTTTTCGGAAAGTAAGGTTGCTGGGTCTAAATTCCCCTAAGATAATTTTTGCAGTCGCTTTGATGGTCTGCTCTGGTACCTCAGAAGAGTTTGCTGTGTCGTGCGATTTCATTTCGTTCGAAAATAAGCTTTCGTGGTCTTTTATTGCCTACAAATGCAAAATCAAAAGAAATTTCTTGTGCTCCTATTTTACTGGTTAAGCAGGGAGGCTAATGTAATTGGACTCTAGTTCCTCCTTAACAATCACCATTCATCTCATACTGCCTCAGTTCTTGACCCAAGTCAAATATTTTTGAAGAAAGATCGTTTATGCTTCAATCATTTTATCTGCTAATCGATCATCCAATCAGCTGGGATCCATTCAAGGGCATACTTTTGGAGATCGAACAGTACTTAGACTCTTCTATTTTCCTTTAGGATGAGGTAGCCTAGGTTTTCGGACTCCAGCAGGACGCTTAGAAGCACAAAAATGTTCTTAAAGCCTCTGACTCTACGACAACTTTTGTTGAGGTTAGAAGAGCCTCTCCGTGTTGGCTCTGAGATCGCGACATTTCGGCGTTCGAATGCTTTTCTGAGCCAGAGCCGAAGCCTTTTTTCAAGCACTGTGCATGCTTTTAACGACATCATAACGTGTTAAACGTAAATATTTAATTGCAATTTTTTAATTAGTCTTTTAAAAGGTGAGTATGTATGTGTGTATGCATGAGTATGTGTACACTTCATATTTGCTTATCATTCAACGAATGCACAAATTGATCAGCTGCTATTCGGAGGCCTGTTTATTGTTGCTAACTTTTTTATTTTGTTTAAATTTTAAATATTTTTTTATCTCCTCCATATGGTTGTTTTTGCTGTAAAATCTATAAAATTGTACGCAAATTGGTTAAGCTCATCAATCGCCCTGCCAACGCCGACGCAGCTCGAACACGAACGCGATGCAGCAATATTTTTTCTTATTCGCGCTCATAGTGTGGCTCTGTGGTGTAAGTGAAGCGAGTAAGTAAAAAAAAAAATAATAAAAAAATAAAAAAAATAAAAAAAAAATATAATTTTATATTTATTTTTACACAAGAATTTAAATTATTTATTAACAGCTTCACCGCAAGTTTGTGGCTATACAGCGCTCAATGGTAGCACAGTATTTCTGAGGTATTACCCCGGCATCAAGGAAGGTGATGAATTTATCGATTATGGCAGTGGCGAAGATGGTATTTGCAGGCAGCGCGCAGTGTGTTTGGAAACTTACGAAACGAAAGTAGAATCGTAAGTACAGAAAAGAATTTTTTAACGGGAGAAATCAAATACAAAGGGCAAAGTTACTGACAGACGACGGTACTAATGCATTAAACAGCATTAATTTACATTAAGTTAAACTCAAAATGCAATGATGTGTTAATAACAGAATTGTAATTTACGCTACAAACTAAATACGCATTAGAGCCGCTGACAGTTGACTATAATGCAGATTAAGTTCAGTTTACTTTAAAAGATTTAAATTCCAAAGTGATGGCATGATGTTAGCAACATAATCTAAAATCAAGCAATGTTAATCCGCATTAAAGATGCTGTACGACAACAATAATGCATATTAACTGCAGTTTGAATTGAGTTTATTTATTGCGAATGTAATCTGTTTTAACCGCGCTGACAGACGGCAATAATTCATAAAAAAAAATTAGAATGCGTCACGTCTTTGAATGGCTGATGGGTTTTTTTTGTGACATTCGGAGCAGTTGATATTATCTTTAGTTAGCATAAAAAGCAACTTAAACTTGGTTAATTGGCACTAACTGCTTTGGCAGACGAAATTAATGCAGATTGGTCTTCATTGGAGACAAAAAACTATTTGTATTTCAACATAACCACCTTAACCCTGGTTAATACTGCCACGTTAATCTGCATTAAATACGCTGACAGACAACAATTATGCAGATTAGCTTTGGTTTATGTTATAAGCATTTTGATATCAATGTATATGGCATCATATTAGAAAATTTGACATGCGAGCATTATACGTATACAAAAAAATCTACAACTAATTCAGTATTAACTCCTTAAGCCAGAAGTACGTTGCCGTTTCTGTGAGATTAGCTTATTCGTTAATTATTAAAAACGATAAATATCGATAACTGTCAAATAAATCAATTAATTATTTCAATTTATTTTTAGCTGCAATGATAACAAAGTGGACTGCATTAACCGCAACACCGTTAAATCAGCATTCCCCGCTTGCTGTGTGAAGTGTTGAGAGAAGAGCAGAGAAATTTATAAATAATTGCAAGCAAACAATGCAAGAACTTAAAAAATTTCTATAGAAGTTTTATGTTTAAAAAAAAACCATTAAATGAAAATTAAAATAAAAAATAATCAATTTCTTGTATTTTACTGAAATTAGTAATTTTTTAAAGCTCTAAAAATGCAAATAAATCGAAAAAATTCTTTAAAATAGTTTTCAATTTTTTTCGAAAAAAAAGTAAAACAGTTCGCTCTCCCAGCAGTCCATATATCGGTAAAAAAAACTTTTTAAATCTCCACTCTATTGCTTACCAACGATGCCTCTACACTTCTTCTAAGTATTTAGTCAAGTATTTATTAACGGCTGTTTATCGATTTTTCGATAACTTAGCGGTCAGCTCATCAGCAACGGATGGGCGAAATAAAACCAGTAGCCATATGCGCTGTAAAATATTTTCCATGGACAAAAAAGCAGCTTTATTTAAATAAATTCTCGTAAACTGGTTTGCGGAATGAGTCAATGAGCATCTAAAGCCACAGCATACACACACTCATACACACATAACGCAGAAGAAGACAAGAAAGTGCAGATCAATGAAATCATTGATAGACAATTTTAGATATTGCCATTGACAGCTGTTTCAACGAGCCTTCAAGTTTCACCACCGATCTTTCAAGGTCGACCAGAGCAAGAGCATACACAAAGGTGAGTGGATCGTATCGTGTTCAAGTACGACGGACACTTTTTAGTAAAAAATATTGCTAGAACCTTATGGGTTTTCATGCCGAGAAGCATACAGACATCTTTTATTGGCAAAATTCAAAAAAAAAAAAGCTTTCCTTTAATTCAACATAACCTCAACTATTTATTCTTGCATATATAACGTTCACAACAATCGGGAAAGGCTTTACTAAAATCGGTTGGCTGATATGTGAAATCCTTACAGCTCGGCTGTACGCGTGGACAATGCGTTAGGCGTATAAGACCGGGCTCCTGGCATGTGAGCTCAGCGCATAAGTCTACATTGGTCGGCTTGAGTGTCTCATTCAGTTTGATGGCGAGCTGGAGCTCTTTATGGAAGCAGTGACCAGGATTATCTATGTGGAGCGGGTGGAAAAAGTAAGAAAAAGGTAATAACATGATAAATTACAAAAAAAAAAAACCAAAAACTCACTTGGATCCCCTGAGTTGGGTATGTACGATTCAGCTTGCACACCAAAAACATTGCACAAGACAACGCTTATTATTACAACGAGAAATTTCATTTTACAACTGTAAGGCGACCGTTAATTAATACAACGCTTTCGAACTGCCTTGTAAGCTGGTTGTGCTACGACTGTTTTTGTATATCAAGAGTGGAAAATAAGTTCGTATTTAATTCTTCAAATGCTAATCTGCATAAGTTGAGACTGTCGATGAGTTCATTCTGTTCGAGGGGGGTGGCGTCATTTATGCGATTTAATAAATTATCGATTACTTGTTGTTGTGCGGGAGGTAGGTCGAAGAGGTGCTAATTAAATTTCAAGAGGCTTCTGTGATGTATGTATGTAGCGAGATAAGTGCAATTATGATGAGCTAGCAATGCCGTGGAGCACAAAGAAAATATAATAACAATAAAAAACATAAATAAATCAATGAAAAAATAAAATAAAATAAAATAAAATAAAATAAAATAAATTAAATATTTTATTTTATTTTATTTTATTTTATTTTATTTTATTTTATTTTATTTTATAAATAAAATAAAATAAAATAAAATAAAATAAATATAGATAAAATAAAATAAAATAAAATAAAGAAAATTAAAATAATGCAAATAGAATTAAATTAAATTAAAATATATTGAAATATAATTAAATGAAATGAGGGGATCTGTGTCTTCAAGATCGTTCTTAAATAGGTTCCTCATTCCTCCATCAAACACTCAATTAAGTCTATGAGCTTGAATTCTTAAGTTTTTTAAGCTCTTGCTGACTATGATTAAGACTTAGTAAGACGGGTATTTTAATTACCAAGACATAAGATTTCCTAAGACCCAACTAAGTAGGAATAACAGAAGGATGGTGTAACTCTTTTTTGGATTGATTGAGACATAAAACTGGTGTAATATGTATGAGTATTATCTGAAGATTCTTGCCAGTTCGAGAAGATGAAAAACCCCGGAGTCTCTATAGAGGTTTGTGCGGCATGTAATTACTCATATTCCTAACTTGATCGTGCTATCTGAAACGGGCCATGAGGCACCGTCTTCATATCCAGCTCGCGTTAGTGGCTTTCGTTAATTGCCAACAAATCTGAAAACCTCCTTTACAACACGTCACGGTAGAATTCTTTCAAGACCTCTTCAGATGCTCCGCAGTTCAAAAAGCTTGCGAACTCTCCGTACAACTCTGTACTCAGTACTTAGCTTATGCCGGCACTCATAGTTGCTGGAGCTTTTATCACTTTAAGAAATACGCACATATCACAGGGATTTCAATTTCTAGGTGACCTCGAGAGAATCCCGTCAGCGTCGCTCGACTGCTTGCGATTATGAGCTCATATGAATCAGGCCATAATCCGGCTTAAAAAAAACCAATCAGATACTCTCATTCGTCCAAATTGAAGTCAAGATGGTCTTTGCTCACTTTGGTCATTGATTGAGTGTCAAAATGGAAACCCGGCATGCGTGTTTTTTTTTTGTAACTGCGTCGAGGTGGAAGTTTTCAGCTTACTCACTGAAGTAATTTCTTGCTCTGATGAGTTATGTGCTGAGCTTTCGAGCTCCAAACTTTCGAAAACCATAGTAGAATACCGTTACATCTCCAGATATTCACTTGCCCGATGTGACCATTTAATTGGGTAGTGGGCACTCATTGTCCATTACAATGAATGCTTAACCCAATTCTGCTGCTGCTTACGCTTGACCAAACTGGTTCCCGCCGACCAAGGCTACACTGTATTGAGGAAACGGGCACAAGAGCTCTCAAGAGCTCAGCATTCCGATATCATTATCAATTGAAACGCACGATCGATGATGTGCATACAAACATATATACATACAATACACTAGACATATATAATTTTCCCTGCACAGCGCACATACATAAAAACATATTTTTAAATATATGTAAAAGCACGAATTTGTACCCTGAGAGTAACAGGGAGTCTGGACGTGCAATATTCATCTGTATGAGACCGAAATTTTTGGGGTCATTAGAGACAGAAGAAACTAAGATCGGGTGAGCGATCGAGTAGGAGAGGTATGTGATGTAGGAAAGGATTCTAAGAGCTCAAGCTGGGCATCTCTTATATATTATATACATATATGTATGTATATCTCCACCCTAAAGCTCATGCGCTCTCTTCTGATCAATTGTACATGCCGTTATTTGATATCGCTCGTAAAGACGCGAGGTTAGAGTTCGTTGTAACCGAAATCTTCGAAGGCAGCGCGGAAATTCTAAAGCTTATCAGCACTCATACATACGTGTATATGTATGTATATGTTCAGTAGGCAGAGATCGTGTAAGCCCATGATACAACAACATGAAAAATTTATTATAGGAAAAAAATTCAATCACTTAACTTGCATTTCTCACACGAAATACGTATGTTTGTATGCCTGTGTATGTATATTTCCAGGGACAGTGCGTAAACAAATAAATTTGTGGCAGTTCATGGAAGGCCAGTGACTGAGAGACCTCATCTTTGATTTTGGTAGTTGCTAAATTGTAATAAGAATTTCATAATCAAATATTTTTCCGCTCTTTAATTGAATTCTTATTTGTGCGTTGCCATGGAGTTGCGTATAAAAGCGTAGGGAAAATTAAATTCGGGTTTCAGTTGGTGTTTAAAGCTTTGCGGCAAATTTTCGACGTGATTTGGGGAAAAATAATTATTGAAGAGGAAACCAAAAAGAGGAAATATTTTTGAAAAAGAGTAAAAGATTTATAAAAAAAAATTGGAGAAAAATAAAAAAGTGGATAAAAAATTTTCAAAATAATAAAAAAAAGTTTATTAAAAAATTTGTTCAAAAAAAAAAAAATAAAAAATTTAAAAGTGAAAGCTATATATATTTTTTTAAACAAATTAATAAACAAAATTAATAAAAAAAATTAATAAAAAAATTAAATAAAATTTTTTAATAACTTTTTTTTTCAAAATAAAAAGAAATTATTAAAAATAATGAAAAAAAAATAAAAAAAAAATAAATATTTTTAAAAACAGTTAAAGATAATATTTCGTAAAAATTACAAGAAAAAATATATATATTTATAAATATATTAATACATTTTCTCCAGGAAAGCGAAAAAGTTATTAAATATCAAACGGCAATGCGTGTGTTCCTGTGTTTACTGTTTATAACGGTAGTCTTCTGCTGTGCTAATGCTAGTAAGTGTAAAATTCAGATTGGTTGTAAATTAACAAACCGGCTTTAAACAGCTGGAGCGATCTTCAATGTTAGTGAAAGTCTAATCAAGACAAATCGTCCGCCGTCCAAGGTCAAACTCGATACCGAAAGCCTCTACCAGTCAGCTTGATAAGCCGAGCAAGCTTCGGTGGTTTTATTCGTATAGAGACAAGTGTTTAGTGTGTGGGCCTTGCCGGTGAACCTTCCTGCTTGATCTATGATATCCACCATTTCAATAATTGTTTTATTAGAGCTGCCCGGGAACTCTTTCAGACTGTTCTTAAAGAGCTGGTTCAGTTTTAACATATTATAGAGTCTTATTGGCCGCCGCAGTAGCCGCGTTGCCTTAGCATAGCTTACTAAGATTTGCAAGGACAGTGTTTGACTACTGGTTTAACCAACCAAATTTGCGTTCGCTTCTCTGCAGGGATTATCGAGTCCTCCGAATGTATGAAGGCTTCACATAAAATTGCAACGCACTTTCGGAGACGGCTAAGAAGAAACTGTAGGGCTCTCTCCATTTGTTGGTGAAAGATCAAGACGCATACCAAAAATGGTAGGATGTGCTGGGCTGAAAATCGCTTCAGTGATTCCAAGGACCTTGTCTGGAATAATTTTAGTCTCCTTGAAGTTATAAAACGCGAAGACACAACTAACCAAAATCGTCGTTTTGTTGGAAGAAGACGTTTCCAGTTTCTAAGTCAACTAGTGACGCGCGCTGGAGCTTAGTGTCGGGTTTCCTTTGTTAACTACAACTCATTTTATTGTGGCATTAGGAGACTTTTCGGAATTCCACTTGGACTCTTTTATATGTCGGGATTGTTTTCCAACTATTAGAGGATTCAAGGAAACGAAACAAGCCGATAGGGTGTAGTTTAATTCACCTCGATGTAGGCCATTTGATGACAGTGCTGTGTGTGGTTACTTCTTTGATCGTTCTATGAGATCCACCGAGTCGTCTGCCATACTTCCGCTTCTCTGAAACTTACACTTTTCCATGCGAGTTGGAGTCGATCTATGTGAAGAACTCTTTCAGAATAATTTCAACCACACAGACTCTAAACCCCTAGAATCTCGGGATTTCTTGGCAGCGTCGAGTTTATTGAATTTTTGGATCATGACTCACATGTTACTGATTTTTCCTCCTTTTGTCTTACGGGATTTTTCCTATATTTACGTAACCCGTCTGTATCAGTTGTGTGGTTATCTTATAGGTAGGAATGCTCTGAAAAGTTGAAAAGATAACTCAAGAACTTCGAGCAAAAGCTTCCGGTCAGAGTATCTGCACTGCTATTATTAGGTTTCTTTAACTACATGGTTTCCAGTGGACCAAGGTTTTGGCATCTTTCTTAATTACTGTTGGTCGCTTCGTCACTTATTTGTCTCTGCTCTCTTCTGGTCTTTTTCTGTATCGCAATTTTTTACTAGTCTCTTTAGGGCTTTGAAAAGCAGTCGTAAATTGCGCTCATTTCAATTCAACTCAGATCTGATCTTCGCTCGGGCAAAGTGGTCATTTGGCGAGGTTGGGTATTTGTTTAAAGAACTTGGTGAACTCTTTGCAGCACCGGGCGCTCGGTCGGTGGAAAACACGAGTAAGAAAATCTGTTTGATATATCACTTAAACAAGGTCGAAGCTGTCAAATACCGTTAGAGCTTCTAAAGAAACACATTAGGAAGCTTGTGCCGAGTTATTACTCTACACTTAAGATCATCCTATCGACTCCTGAAGCTTTCATGGTTTTATAATGGCTTTGATCAGTGAACCCACGTGTTCTTTACCCATCTCAAATAGATTCTTAAGATAATAGCAGAAAGAGGATGGTCTTCCTGCCAAGATTTTCTTGTTAAGAACTTCAAAATATTCAGTTCCTACTACTTGTTTTATTCTACTCCCACTCACTCACTCACTCACTCACTCACTCTCTCTCTCTTTCTCTCTCTCTCTCTCTCCCTCTCTTTTCTTTATCTCAGTTCCGAAATCATGCAGTTACACTGCCATCACCGGCGGATCACAAGTGGTGACCTATGATGCGGAGACTGATAAGAGCGTGGAATATGTGGATTTCGGCACAAATACAAATGGTCTCTGCGTGCAGCGGGCGCGGTGTAGCAAGGAATACGTGACGCAAGTCATTAAGTAAGTAGCGATAAAGTGAAGTGTTGATAACTGATGCAGGGCAATGAATTGATTCGGTTTCTTTTCTTTCAGATGCACCGATCTGCGTATAACCTGCGAGAATCGTGTATTATTTGAGGGCCAGTTTCCGGCTTGCTGCATAAAGTGCTGATAAAAATTTCAATGAAAGAAAATCATTTAGTTTAATGTGAAAATGAACAAATAAAAGAAATACTTCAAGAGAACTGTGGAAGATCTCTTTATTTGAGCGCGCTGGTTAAGTCAGCCGGTTCGAAAGTACACTGGTTTTCTCAGGAAAAGACACTTAGTTGAATATGCTCCGTTGAGGTCATCTTCGGTAGGTGTGTTTGCCATTGGAGGATATTCATTAGAAATGACAGTTCGTCTTGGGCTGGAGTTCATCTCTTATTCGAAGTGCTTTTACGTCTTATTACTACTCATTCGGAGCACCTTCGGCTACTCAATTGATATAAGGCTAAGCTCTATAACGGAACTTTGAACTCAACAACTCAGAAAGTTATCACCAAAACTGAATATCAGAGATTCTCTAGCCTCTGAAAGAATGTACTTTCTTTTCTTCACTCTACCCTGATGGTGCAAAAGATCCTGGTGGACGGAAGAGCATTCCAGACAGAATTTCTCTTTGAATTGTCTGCTTGCTGCTGTGAATAAAAAGATCATTTGAAGAAACTTCTTCTTCGGGGAAGTCTGTAGGACAAAGCTTGGCACCGTAAGCTTCTCTGGCCTCTGAGATCCCGGACACAGTAGCCTTTTCTTCGCTTTGAACATAAAAGTTCTTCTAGTAATGAGATCCTCTCTTTTGGCCACACTGATTTAGATAGTCGAAATCTTCCTGGAAACAACTTTTACTTCGAGGTGGTATTGAAAATGAAATTGGACGTTAAGAGTTGATTCTGTCTCCAAAGCTTTGAACATGTCTTACTTTTCTTTTCCTTAAACTTAAATGTTCCTCAAGCTCCTGAAAGTTATTCCTATGGGGTGGTCTGGTAGGAGAACTAGAAATCGAAACGTAAACCACCATGTGGGTTCCCAGATACGATATTCTTTTCCTTTGAAATCTTGTACATAGCGCTTTTTCCGCCTTGATCTGTTTAATTCGAATTCTGGAAGACATTGAAAGTCTCTAGGGCAAGACACATCTTTCCCGTGCCAAGTTTCTTTGCGTTTTGATCAACTGCTGGGTGCTTTTGGACAGCAAATATCGTACGGTAGATAGATAAGCTAGCGGAAACTTTGAGTTTCTTTCATCCCACATTTCACATACTGAGGGATTAGCAGTTTCTAAGTCACAATTATTCTTCTTTCATCTTAGAAGAGCCACGAGACGGTTAATAAAGTGACGCATTTCCAACACACCCCTATTAAATACCTTTCTTTTGCTCAGCACTGTACCGCAGAGCTTTATTGAAAGCTTCTTTCATTCAACGCTCACATGGCTGTGTTCACTGTCCGTACAATATGTGAGCTGTCGAAAAGCTCGCTAGTAATTTAACTCTCACAACCGCTGCGACACCTGTTCCACAGCCACAGTTGTTGTTACTGTGCGTTCATCCGACTTCCAATCTCCAAGTCGCGCTCTCAGCGCACTCGGCTCTCCCTCAAAATGCTGACCTGCGCAGCGAACGGAGCTCATGCCAAGAGTTATGAGTATCTTTCAAGTCGAAAATTTGCTACTGTTGTTGTTGTCGCTGCTAACTGCGACTACTAATCAAATTTTAAACATATTAGGAAGCCGCCACTGCGCTGCCTCGCCCTCCAACCATCGTGTGTAGGTGTGTTGCCAGCGAGTTGTAAGGCTGGGTCGCTAGGACGACGCTGAGTTGCGTGTTTGCTACGTCGGATGCTACAGCCGCTGCTGGCGACGACGACGACGATGACGACGGTGGTGGCGGAGATTTGTTTTGTTGTTGTATGGGTTGTACGTTTTAGGTAAACATATTGTCAGTGCGCGAGCTCCGAAACCTTCCCCACGTCTCCGTCTTCTCCTCGCCCCAAAACGTATGCCAGCATTTTTGATTGCCTGCAATTTGAGGTGCAAATGGGAAGCGGAAATAAACGAAATGACAATGACGCCGGCACCGGCAGTGGCACCGTTGCAAGTGCCGCCGCAGAAATGCAATGCATACGGAAATGACGAGCGATAATAAAAATACCGTAATATACATACGTTGAAGTGTGAAAAAATATGCTTTGCAACACAGCAGCGCAGACGGCTACGGAGGCGGAGCCGGTGCGAGAGGAAGCTCTCGGCTAAACTCTACCTCGCTTGTTGCAATTCATCACAGAGCTCGTTACGCGTACACATACATACTTATGTGTATAACTTTACTTCGTGGTTTTAGCTACCGAGTGTGTGTGTGTGTGTGTGTGTGTGTGCATATCCTGCTTATATAGTTATTTTTATGCCTCAGCACTTGCTGCCCAACCAACAACTGACCAACTTACAAAGCCCTCAACTAACCTAGCATTGTGCCACTTGCGGCTCAGCAGAAGTCGGAGGACAGAGTGTGAACGTGTGTGCGTGTACGACCGTCTCCATCCGTTCAACCTGACCTGGGTTTTTCATTTTTAATTTTTGCCTTAAGAGTTCATAAAAGCACAACTAACAAACATATACATACATACTTGTGGAGCTCATGAACCTGCAGTCGGTTCGAAGGTGTCGGCACAGTGGGTTTGTTGTGTTGAATGGGGTAATAAAGTGTGTTGGGCACCATACAATTTGCTCCCCTCGATACCAGCATGGATGATAACTTATCGGTTAGCTAATGGGAGTGGAGCCATAGGAACTTCAACTTCGTGGATAACAGAGGATTGTTAGGCTGCAGGTATCTATCGGAGCTAACGTGATTTTCAGTGGTCCAAAGTAGTACAAAATTGTCGAGCCGACCTCATAAAATTGTCGAACGGACCTCAGAAATCGACGTAGCGCTCAGTATCCTCGACAGTACCAGCTAGGCAGAACGAAGTGGCGCAACAAAAAACTCGACAATTGCCAAAATCTGTTTTGGCCCCTTCAAATATGGAATATGAGCTCAAGTTGTAGGTTTAAAATACTTTCGATTTGATTTACCTTAAAAAAGGAAAGTCCCACGAAAACTAGATGCCTTGGGGAGTAGGAAGTAGACATATAAAAGAGACAACGTCTTGAGGGTACCTGGAACCGGCACAATGACTTGTGGATTCAGTAAGATGCTACAGAAGCTTGGTTGGTTTGAGTTCAAAAGTGACTCGCTCCAACACTCTTTTGTTTTCCCACTTTTAGCTTCACCGGAAAGGTAGAGAAAGCCCTCTCACTAGTGTTTATAGCTAAACTCCAATTTGGTCTCAGTCACTGTTGAAGAAACCCGAAACCAACCAAATATTTTTTTTTCAACTGTGGAACAAAAGCACTCCAAGTGGAAAAGAACTCAACCGAGTAAGAACCAGGGCTCTGCAAATACGTAATCCTTCACCAACACTACTATGAACAATGAAACACTGTGCTGTCTTACCTTCACAACACCGCGCAATACAAAACTTGCGAAGATCCAAAAATCTCTAACTTAAATAGCAGACTAAGAAAGCTGAACTCGGACCGAATAAATTTTTTCAATTGAATACCAAAAGTCAGCCATTAGTATTCGATTCAGTAAGAACCCGGACGCGAACTGTTTGACCAAGTAATCAGTATTTTTGCCGACACTGTGCAATTTCATTCCCGGCGCCAAAGCAACAAACATATGGAATCCTTCAAGTGCACACACGTAAGCCCGAGAGCTCCGCAGAAACGTGGCGTACGCGCTGATGTTTGGTTAAATGAAAGTCGCCGACTTAGCCAACGGCGGGTCAGTGGCTTGTAGTTGCCGGAGGTGAAGGCTTTCGACTTTCACAAGCGTGTAATGGCAATTATGGTTGTCGTCGCTTAAATATGCTGTGCTACTCATGTTGTTGTTGTAAGGACATATATTTTTATTGTTACATAGTTGTTGCTGCTGTTGTTGTTGTCGTCGTCACGGATGTGGTGCTTGTTGCTGCGGCTGTTATGCAACTAGGGTTTTTTTTTAAATTTATTTTTCGCCTTTTTTTGCTTTTATTTTATTTTATTTTTTTTCTTGTACTGGTTTGTTGTGTTATTATTCAATTCGCAGTGTTGTTGTGGTCATGTAAGCAGGAAGCAAGCAGTTAACTGTTGTGCTGTTGATTTGCTTGTTTTTTCGAAATAAAAAATAATAAATAATAAAAAAAAAAATAAAAAAAAATAATAAAATACATTTTTCGCTTTTATTAAGTGCGGCGAGGAAGGGAGACGGACATAAAAAATGTAAGTTTATTAAAAAAAAAAAATTAGTAATGCAATAACAATACATACACAGAATGGTCGTAGGCATGAGTGGCACAAGACTGTGGGCTTTTCAAGCATTACTTTTTCCGTTTTCTCTGCTTCCACTCCCGACGCGTCGCTTTTTGTGTCACATTCACACTTTCCTTTTTCTTAATTTTTCTTGCTTTTTTCTTTATTTTAATTTTTCTTTTTGTTCACATAAAGCTTGCTATTTATAAAATGCTTTTTGGACTGTTTTGTGTGCTAAATATTTGTTTGCTTGCTGGCTTGCCTGCTTTCCCACTGTCGCTGCTTCTGCTGCTGTTTTGTGTACGCGTATGTGCTCTTTGTTTATGTCACTTCATCATAGCCATTGTGCGCAAAAGGCGCACAACTACACTATCCGGCCACATCCCGAACTCACCCCTAAGCCTTAACACAAGCTCAAGCTCAAGCACATGCACTTATTCTTAATATTGCTTCCTGTTTTTGTCTCTAAATATTGTATTTATTTATTCATTTATTTGCTCATTTGTTCTAGTAGAAAGCTGCCATGTTATTCTTCTTGTTCACTTTCCCACTTTTTCTTCCTCTTTTATTGTGAATGTGTGTGCACGTGTGCGTGTGTGTATTATTTTTGCCCTGTTCATGCATGTCAGTGCATGCCATTTTTCATATTTATGTTTTATTGTCTTGAGTGTTGGCATTATGTCGTTGGCAGACAACCAGAAACAAAAAAAAAAAAAGAAAAGAAAACTTGGTCAAATGTGTGCCGTTGAGCGGAGTAAAATATAAAGGAATGAACATAAGCACATTTGTACAGATTTGAACTTTTTAGCATTCCATTCTTAGGCGTTGAAATAACCAAAC